GGGGTGGCAGAAACCCAGTCCCTGAGCCATCGTGGCTGGCTCCCAAGGTCTGCATTAGAATGAAGCTAGAGAAGAGGCAGACATCTTAACTGAAATATATCCAGGGCTGTGCATCCTGGGTAGCATGTTACTTCTAAAGAAAAATTTAAAAATAGCTACCATCCAAATCTTTAAAAAAGAAAACTAGCTGACCCAGTATAGGGTTGTCTTCATCTTTTTGTTGTTACTACAAAGATACCTGAGGTGGGGCTAGTGCAGTGGTGTAGCACCCTAATTTTCCACCTGTCGTGCCAGCATCCCATGTGGATGCCGGTTCTGGTACCACCTGCCTGCTTGTGGCCTGGGAAAGCAGTGGAGGACGCTCCAGTGCGTGGGCCCCTGCACCCACCTAGGAGATCTGGAAGAAGCTTCCAGCTTTCACCTAACTCAGCTCTGGCCTTTGTGGCCATATGGGGAGTAAGCCAGTGAATGGAAGATCTGACTTTTACTTTATAAAGAAAAGCCACGGGTATTTTTAGACTTTAAAAAGCTGGTTTGATTTAGTTCATGGTCTGGTCTGAAATTGAAAGCCCCCACCTAGCAGGCTCCCTGCTGGCTGAGTCCCCACACAGAATGAGCAAGAGCCAAGAAAGGGCATCCGAGTGTGTCCCCTGGTCGTGCTGCTGTGCAGCCACCAGGATTCTACCATGGGGTATCCACTCCCCCCAAAGCCCAGTCTCTAACCACCTAGCAAATGAAGCTGCCACAGATTTTAAGAAAGCATTTTAATTGAGATAATAAGCCCCATCCAGTTCTCACCCTACTGCTGTAATGGTCAGGTCTGAGCCAAGCTAGGGGCAGGGGACTCTTCGGGAGTGGCAGGAAGCCAGTGACTGGGGTCTTCACAATACTTTCCAGGAGAGCCAGGTGCTTCACTGGTGTCAACTTTCAACTTAACAGAACTGCAGGTTGCACTGTAATTAACCATATCAGAGTATGCAAGAATGAGGTAGTTCTGGATTACATGAAAAAGGTGTGAACAGTTCATTAGTACATGACCATAGGGCGTATGTGTGTATGTATATTCTATAACATGTGCTTCTGCCACTGTTTCCTGACGCTTCAAGTGACTTGCCAAGCTGGGAACCAGGGCTGTGCACACTCTCCTTTCTGCACCTCAAGCCTTAACTGGGAAGATGGACCCCACAAAAGCCTCAGGGGTTGGCAAATCGGCCGTGGAGCGCACAGCACATTCCTGGAGACCAGCTGGGGGCATTGCCACCTGCATGCAGAGGCCATAGTGCTGGGCAGGGGCTGGGTGAGGCGAGGCCATCTGCCAGAGTGACCAGAGGAGGGGCTGAAGCTGGGAGTGCGGGTCATCCGCATGCCCTCAGCTCCGTCTGTCCTTTGCTGCAAGGAGGGGTAGAGCAGATCAGCATACTCCGGCAAGCCACACTCTGTCCTATGGCCACAACCAACAGGGTGTCACTGCGCTTAGAAGGAAGTGAGCCTCAGAAAAATGCCACTTCCACCCACGAGGTGAGTTTCCAATCCCGGCCTAGGAACGTGCTGCCCCACTGGAGCAGCATGCACACCTCTTCCCGGCCGGGCTGAGCCCTGCCCCTCCTGCAGCTCCCTCAGCTGGACAGGGAAGGGTGGGGAGAGAAACCCAGTTGATATGCGTGCAGCAGGGTCCAACAGGGAGTGGAGGACCATCGCAGCCCCATCGTTTCCTTCAACCTGGGGAAGACAGCTTCCAGTCCCAGCTTTTCTGTTACCAGTGTGGCTGCTATTCCCTGCAGCCTGTCTTGAAAGGACAGATAATCAAAGTTTGGGAACTGTCTATGCCACGAGTGGCCACACCTGCCTGCGGTCTGGGCCAAGGGACAGGCTGACACATGTGCTCCCCCCGCAGTCACCGTGAGGGCCCATCTCACCGGCTGGCTCATGACCCTGAAGAAAACCTTCGTGCTGGCCCCCAGCTCCGTGCTGCGGATCATCGTGCTCATCACCAGCCTCGTGGTCCTGCCCTACTTAGGGTAAGCAGGCGCTGTGGGCCAAGGCCCACCACACAAGCAGGTGTCTGCCTGCCTGCCTCCCACTGGGGGGCAGACCTGCTCCGCGAAGCACAGCGAGGCTGGAGACAAAAGAGGGCGGAGGACTGTTCAGCCCAGTCTCCCGGAGGAGAGTGGACATGCTGGGAGTCCCACTGAACGAGGCGGGGGAGGAGCTGCCCCTGTGCGGGTGCCAGAGTCCAGGTCTCCCCAGCCCATGCAGAGGGATGGCTGGCCAAGGCAGGCGGCAAGTGCCCCATGCCTCAGGTCTGGATTGGAGCAGCATCGCTGAGCTTTAACGCTCATGTTACCTTCATGCTGTCCTCCCCCAGGGTACATGGAGCCACCCTGGGCGTGGGCTCCCTGCTGGCAGGATTCGTGGGAGAATCTACCATGGTGGCCATCGCAGCATGCTACGTCTATCGGAAGCAGGTGAGGACTCCCAAGCCCGGCAGTCAGCACAGAGCTGGGCTGCCTTCCATAACCAGCATGGGCCCCCTGGTTGGTTATCATGTGGCCGCTCCTTACACTGGCTTGGTTTCGGAAGGCAGTGCCTCAGGACAGACGAGCAAGGACACATCCAGTTACACGTCCTGGTGGGAGCTATAGGAAGGTAACTTAGCAACTGTAGTTTTGAGCCGGTAGCAAAGCTCTGGAAAAGTGATCTACCCACCCCACCCTGGCAACCGAATTCCTCCCCAAAGAAGCATACTAGAGAATGACCTGGCTGGAAAAGGAGCAATCCTGCCCCATGCTGGCCAACTCAGCACCCAGTTTGACCTCAGCTGTGAGCATGCAGTTAGCGCATGACCCACAGGTGTCACTTTTCTACACTATATGGCAGCAGGAACCCTGTGGTGTTTCATTCATTCAGCAGAAAAAGAACAAGAGTGAATGCAGACAGAGGTGGAGGGAGCTCCAGGACCCAGCCTGAGGAGTTGGGCACCCCAGGAGACAGGATCTGGAGGACGGCAAGGGGGCATAGGGGCGAGAGTGGGGCCAGCACACTGGTGGCAAGTCAAAAGCAGCAGGCGGAGAGACAGCCCTTTGGCCCTAAAGGAGAGGGGCGTGCGTGTCGACTTCAGAAAACCAGTTAAGATAGGTGGACTTCACATGACTGTGTGCTTGGGAAACAGACACCAGACAGCAACACGAGTGAGGCCACACTCATGGGAGCTCGTGGAAGCAGGAAGCCAGGGACAGAGCTGAGGACGGCCCGAACTTGGTGCTGAAGACCAGCTCTGGGGCGAGCCCTGCAGCGGCTGAGAGGCACTGGCTACAAGGTCAGACACCATGCAGGGACACACCCAGGAACTTCAGGAGGGAACGACGGTGAGACTGGGGCTCCTCCAGAGGGAAACAGGGCAAGAAAAAGGTTTAGTGGCCTCCGATTCCAAGCTGAGCGTCCCCTGTGCCAGGTACACAGCAGGTACATGAATAACCAGACTGAAGGGAAGGTGCAAAACCAAGGTGAACTGAGATATGAGCCTGTGGTGGGGCTCCCCCAACACACACCCCGACTCACGGCTTCTCCCCTCAATGCTGTGTCCTCTGATCTAGAAAAAGAAGATGGAGAATGAGTCGGCCGCTGAAGGTGAAGACTCCGCCATGACAGACATGCCACCAACGGAGGAGGTGACAGACGTGGTAGAGATGAGAGAGGAGAACGAATAAGGCCTAGGGTGTGCTGGGCTACGGCAGGGACAGCTGGGTGACACTTCCGTGTCCTCTCCCCCACAGCGGACCTCGGGCTTTGCTTTGTTCTGGACGTAATGGAAAAGGCCTTGAGCTAAAGGTCTCACCGTCCATTCTCTAGCATACTGGGTATGTTGCCATTGACGCGAGGACCTAAGGAATGGTCTCCAGTGTCACGCCACCAAGGCCGTGGATGCCACGCCTCTGCTTCACACAAACCCAAGAGTCACAGCTGCCTCTTGGCTCAAGCTGTCTCCTCCTGGCTCGGACAATCTCCACTTGGAACCAAAGGACCATGGCTGTGCCATCGCCTGCTGGGCATTGCTGCCTAGCAGGCCAGACTCTTGTCCCTCTTCGCCCCTCTGAAGAATCAGCAAGTTCCAATTCGGCTTCCTTGCCTTGCTTCCCAGCCACATGGTCGCACAGAGTTGCACCCTGGGGTCATGCACGGTCTACTGCACACTTGCACGACCCAGGCAGGTGGGCTGCCTGCAGCCACCACTCGCACCGAGGGACAGACTGACCTTGTATGCCCACATGTGGCGTCACTTTCTGCAGCAAAGTAAGATGCCACTGGAACGGCGGCCTGACAGCACGTCCGTACCCCCTTGGCAGCGTCCTGGCTCCGAGCGGGCTGCCAGCACTCACGCTGTGCCACGCCGTGTAGGTAGGCAAGCTAACCTTCTAGAACTGTCTGACGCGCATCTCTGAGTTGCGGCATCCTCCCGCATGACTTCCCTGCCTTCCTCAAGTGAGGGGGGAGCCTTCCCACTTCATGTGTGTTTTTACAGTGACCATGAAGCTTTAAAGTCATAATCTAGCATTCTAATGCCAGGCTGCTGTATTGTTAACTGCTGACGTAGGCGCACGACCAGGCTCTGCCGGTCAGAGTCCCGAGGGTGCGGGCCAGGCCATTCCTCGCGCACCCCACGGGAAAGCAAGACATTTTCTAAACGCTCGACTGTCACTATGTGATACTCCCTCAAACGACGCATTTGAAATCCATTTAGTGCAGTCTATTTTTCTAAGTTTTGGAAAGCGGGTTTTTTTTTTTCCTTTGAAAAGAAATTATGGACACAGTTCACTAAAATTCTTGATTTAGTCAAAATTCCTAGACTGAAAGAACCTACACAAAAATATTTTAAAGATATAAATATATGCTGTATATGTTATGTAATTTATTTTAGGCTATAATACATTTCCTATTTTCGCATTTTCAATAAAATGTCTCTAATACAATCCGGGGACTTCTTCCGTCCTCGCCGTACCTGCAGCTGAGGCGCTGTGCGTCAGTGAGCACCGCAGGGTGACTTGGGCCAGGGTCACGAGTGTCCGGGCTGGGAGATGACCAATCGTTCTCATTCATGGTAAACCTGGAAAGAAATGGGTCCGCGAGTATAGACAGACTGGGCAGGAGGGCCAGAGGGAAAGCCAGCGTGCCGTGTGTGCAGTGCTGACTCACCACAGTCTCCCAGGAAGGATGAACGCAGGCCGTGGCTGTCAGAGGGTCCTGGCTCCGTGCGCCCCTCAGGGACAGGTCCTCCTGTGCCTCCTCAGGCTCTGCCTTCAGCTGTGTGAGTGCTCCACATTAGGATGCACGGTTCTCTAAGATGCAGGCAGGAGACAGTTACAATGTGTCAGCCTTTTTAAAGTACAGGACTAGAGAAGTCAACAGCCTGAACTGGGCCTACCTGTGCCAAAGGCGGTCATCCCCTTGCATCCCTGGCTTCCCCAGCATGAGCTGGGGGCTTGGCAAGGAGTCACCCATGGAAGGCTGCTTCCCTGACACGCTGAGCTACTCCATATTGCTTTACAATACGGTGGGTGGGCCCAGTGAGCCTCCAGTGCCACAGCTCTTGACACCTCTCTCTGCACACCTTCCCATGACAACCTTGGGAGGGACGGAGGCCCAGGAGGGAGGCAGGCCCCAGGGGTTCCTGACAGGGGTGGCGGGGCAGTGCAGGTGGACACTGCTCGCAGCCTTTTCTGGACCTCAGGATGGACCCATGCAAGTCTCCCCTCCACTGTCTTCGAGGAAGTAGTGAAGAAAGCAGTCCCCCACCTCTAGCTGCTTCCCATCTGGGGATGGAAGGCTTGGAGGAAGTAATCTTTGCACCTTTGGTTTCTAAAAACGTCAAAGACATAGCAGCTCTCTGGAATTTTCTTCTCCCTCCTCCTAACCAAAGTGGGAGGGTTCATGTATCAAAACAGGAAGCATTTATGCTGTTATATCACCCAGTGAACTCTTCCATTTAAAAATCTTGCTACCACAGAGCACCTCTAGGCGGACTCCTCCATGGTGAGGATGGAGTCTTCCTCACTGTGGGCAGCCCAGCCCAGGGGGAGAGGTCCTCCACGTCCAAGTCCTGCCCTCTCTTGTTGGGTAACCCACAGTACCATACAGCACGTGGGAGGGCTGTGGAGCGCAGCTGCCACACCCCTGCGCCTCGATCAGTGCCTAAGCTGCTGCTGCAGCCCACGCTGCACAGCCTGTTTTTATAAAAAGCACCTGAACCGTAGAAAAACTGGTTTTTGAGCAATGTGTTTGGTAAACACTGGAGAGACTCCTCCACGCTGTGTTTATTTTCAATATCTATTTCTGTCGTTTGGAGCAGCAAAACATCACGTGCTCTGTCAGCTGGCCTAACCACACATACAGCAGGATGTGGCGGGAACCCGAGGAAGCAGTGAGAGCAGCCCCGCCACCTGGCCTTTGAAAGGTTGGGTGTCCGACAGAGGAAGGTGTTAACAGGTGGCCTGCTCACTGTCCTCAGAAGGGAAAAGCAGGGACCAGACAGCCCCTGTCAGGAGTTTGGGACAGGGGGCCACTGAGCAACCGCAGCCCCTAGCAGCATCCACGCCAAGCCTCCGGAGCCCTTGAGAGCCAAGGCCCAGGATCAGGCCAAGATCTTCAAGATCAAGGCCTTAGAGCCACGATCTTCACATAGTTTGGTGATCTCTTTTCTTTCTTTTGCAAGCAACCAGGGTCCCTAAACAACCGCAAAACATACATGCACTTCCACAGACAGCTGTCCGCTACACATGCAGTCAAGCAAGCATCTTTCATATGGTGTGGAAATGTGTTTTTAAGTTAGCGTGCCTAACTCCAAGTGCACTTTGCTAATTAGGCTTTGTATCAGCTTCCTCCACAGGCCGATTCAAACCAAAGTTCACAAGGAGCAGGGAACCCCACCCCAATCTCTCCAGAAGTATACACAGGTTTCCTCACATTAAAGGAGGGGGAGAGGGGACCCATTCCACATGGCTGCACCCATTCACTAGCCGAAATCCCAAGACATGGTGTTCATTATGACCCAAAGACTTAGAGGCCTGCGGCCCCCACGCTCTAAGCAGGGGCAGGGACTGCTGGCTCAGGGTCTAGGAAACAGCCAAGTGGGCTCTGGGTTCCTGCTTCATGGGACCATGAACTTGCAGGGCCAGGCCTGAATGAGCCAGTCCCTGAAGGCACATGATGTACATCACGAGCCATCCCTCACAGCATGGGCCACACACCCAGGGCAGTGTGGGGTCACCAGGCCCATTCCCACTCCTAGACAGGATCGCCTGTCCATTCACTGAGTGGCACAGGGCAGGGCCACTGCCTCACGCTGCTCTGATCAAGGAGCCCAACCATCCTAGAGCCTTAGAAACCGGAGAGCAGCACCCACCCCACGGCAGCCTGCTCCTTCAGGAAGAGCTCCCACACTGCACCCCAAGTCCCACCCCACGGCAGCCTAACCCTTCCCAACTCACACCTTCAGCCTGCCTTGCTCTTCTTCGGTCCAGTGAGAGGCTTATACCATCCTTGCTATGGCTCTGTCCTGATCGAACATTCTATGTATGATCCAGGCTGCAGAGCACACAGGAGCCTGTGAAGGAAAAATAAAATTACCTCATTCTTTGTTTCAAATCTGTACCTCAGTGTGGTATGTATTTTTTTTTAAACCAACTTAGTCTCCTGGGAGTCACTCTCCCACCTGTGTTGTGGCTGTCAGCTACAGGATTTATAATTCCACATCACAAGCTGTGGGTGTCATTGAAACTGTCAAAACCAATCCCACTGAAATACCTGTCACTTTCAATGAAGACTGACAGCAGAGGTCGGTACAAAATCTATGCTGTATTTTAAACCAGAGCGATCTTGTGTATTTACTAGCTGTAAGCTTTGTGTTGTTCAGAGCATTTACATATGCTTTTGTTTTGGGGGCATCTGGGCGGGACTTGTACTCAAACACTGTCACACGGGTTCAATACTCTAACTTCACTTCAAGTACAGCTGATGGGCAGCTGGTGCACAGTTCGATCACTGCAGTTCCTTGATTTTCTTACTCTAACCACTAGTCTGTTTCCTGGCCAGTCACTTGCTGTCCAAATCCTCAGTACAGTTTCCGTTTTTCTCCCAGAGTCACTGGGATATTACACGTTGTCCCCTGCCGTGGAAGATGAAACCCCCGCGTGCCAGGATACTTCCCTATACCTCCTGCCTCCTTATCTAACACCCCGCTTCTTCAGGGCATTCTGTGTGCTCCGACTTCTCATCACCCCAGTAACCCTACAAGCACTGCCCGGAGCTCCTCCACCTTCCTTCTGAACCAGCAAGCGTCAGGAGGCCCAAGGAGAGCTGAGCCTGTGTCCACCAGCCCATGCCACACAGCCTCCATCTGCACCCGTCTTTGGGGACAATGCCTTGCTGTTTCCTCACAGGGAGAAGGCTGAAGAAAAGATCACAGGCCCGAAGTCTATGCAGTCTTTTACCAGGCACCCCTCGTGGGGCAAATGCGACACATCCTGCTGGCTTTGTCTGGGATGCCCATCTCCTTCCTGCCTGCCTCGGGTCTGTCCTGGAGTTGAAGGCCCACTCTGGGTCAGTGTCCGTCCCGCTCACTGCCTCGGATTCTGAGAAGTTGACATATGGCCTGTAGTATCAGTCCCTTTTCCATTACTGTACCAAAAAGCTGAAGCTGCATACTCTGCACTACAGTTAAATCCAAGAGGTGTAGTTAGCTCACAGCTTGGAGTTGCTTCAGCCTATGGTAAGGCCCCCTGCCCTTGGGCTGTGGCACAGCATGGTGGATGGCATCAAGAGAACACCTGGTGAGATGGGACTTCAGGGAGTGGGCAGGGGCACGCCTCACACCTCTCCCCCATCTAGAACTCAATCACTCCACAGGACTGACATTAACACCTCAGCTTCCCCTGCCAAAGGCGCCACCACACTGAGCACCAAGCCGCCACAGCACAAACCTTCACAGGAGACACTCCGATCCTAACCAGCCCACAGTGCCCATCTCCCTCCAAGCTGCAACGTGACGACGGCCAGCTGCAAAGCCCCGAGCCTCATGCGCTGACCCGTGGCAGGAAGGGCGTGACACCGCCACGAGGGACACTCAGCACCCCTCCCACATTGTCCCTCAAAGAATCTCTCCAGGGAACCAACTGTTGGCACCCCCATGCCAGTGGGGTCCAGTTCAGCCTGGTCATGCCACTTTGTGCTGTCTCCCCTCCATGCCCTCCGCAGCCCCTCAGACCATCATGGAGAGCTTCTGCAGCAGGAACATCACGCCCTCTATGTGTCCCTTCTGGATACTGCTGAAGGCCAGGCCAGAATAAAAGGCAGGCTGCCATCAATGTGGAGTTCTAACTCTGTCCCCCAAGAAGCCCTGGGTTTCTGACTAGACAACACAGGCTGGTGAACGCCATGCTGGTTTTACAGGCCAATGATACTCTCAATGCTCAGCAGTGATGCGCTGGGAGCGATGGGCCCTGGCTCTGCCCGCTGGGGCCGCCAGGCCAGCCTCCTACCCTGAGGAGCAGGATGTCTCTGCTAACGCCTGCAGCAGCAAGATGTACAGAAAGGGCTCAGGGGCAGCTCAAGAAGACAGAGGGGCCAAGTCGCCCTGGAAGCACTCTGACCTGTCCTCCTAAGAGAGAAAAAGGACAAGCGCTTATATGAAACAAAAGGCTGACCTTAGCTTGGGTTCAGAAGCCTTTGAATCCAAAGACTGAAATAGAACTAACAAATGTAATCCTTATGTGCAGAGTCTGCACTATACCCTAGGCCCAGCCCCCTCCCACCTGCTCTCATCCTCAAGGCCTGCCAAGGGCCCAGGGTTAAAATGTGCTTCCTCCCCCATTTGTCCTGCCCTGGCCCCCATCTGACAGCCTTTCTGCAGGATACCACAGCCTTCCCCTTCCCTGCCATCACTCCGCTGTGCTCTTCAAAGCCACCCCCTCTGAAAGGGCATCTAAAAGGTCCTCAGGTCCAGCCCCTTTCACCTTGGTTGGGAATCTAGTTCTACCTGCTCCCCGTTTCCTGTTCAAGTACATGTACTGACTCGTTAGTCTGGCTTCATAGCAGCATGTCCTCCGTAACTCCTCAGAGTTCTCGCAGGAGCTGTGGCCTGGAGCCCACACACTCTGCACACTTCCTCCCCCAGCTGGCCTCACTCCTGCACCCTTTAGCCCCCGCAGCACAGCTCCTCACTGATTACCCCAGGTCTGGATGCTGCCCAAGCTCCCAGGCCCCAAGGATCCCTGCGAGCATAATCTTCACCTGTGCTCGGCAGCCTGGTCAGCCCCCTGGCATGTGCAGCAGAGAGATGGGTCCAGAACAGCCTGATGGGCCTTCCTCTCTGGGCACTGGCTAGCTGCAAGGCCGGTCCAGCACACCCACAGCTGTGCACTAGGCTATGTCTGAGCCACGCACGCCACACAAGAGCCTGGCCAACAAGAAGCAGCAATGTAAAACTGACTCAGGCTGTGCCCTGCCACCAGTTCCAGAGGTCACAGCTTCTTGATCACCCAATAACAAGGGCCAACGGTAGACATTTCAAGGGTAGAAAACTCCACCAAGTCCCACTCGGGGGAAGGGATCGGTATGTGCATGGATGTGTCACTGGTGGGAGATGGGCAGGTCCTCTGACAATGGCCACCTGAGAGCACTCCTCAGTAGACACCCGGAAAGCCTGAAAGGGACCTGGGCTGACTCACCTCCTAAGTCAGACTGAAGGACAGGATGCTGCAGCGGCTGGTACTTCCTGGCCTGACCCAGCAGGGGGCGCGTGATCTTTCCACGAGCTGGCCTGGGGCTGTCTTCAGCATGTGCAGCACAACGAAGGGAGTGAACAGGGCTTGGCAGAAAGCAGCCAGAGGGAGCACTGCTAAGGTGGTGGGTCCGAGTGTGACAGCCCATCGGGGGCACTGAGGAGAGCCCCTGAATGGGGGATAAGAGGTGTGGGCCCCCCAAAAGGTTCCCTGAAAGAATCTATGGGTGAAGACCAGAACTGAGCCACAGCCAGACCCAGGAAGGGGGAGCTCCCTGTTCCCTCCTCCGACTCCACCCATGGAGGGACGGCCAGCAGTTAGCAATGAGTGGAATTTGCCAGCTTCTGAACTAGAAGGGCCTGTGGCAGTGAGGATGAGCACAAGTTCTAGTGCCGCAGAGTGGCTCGGTCAAGTGCCCAAGGGTAGAGGAGTTGCCTGGACACAGTTCCTTGTGGCTGCCTCCCTGGAGTTGGGCTTTGCAGTTGACTGGTCACAGATGCACAATGACTCTGTAACAGTCATCTGGAAGGACAGCAGCTGAGCCCCAGCCAGTGTGGCTTCACGTCCCCAGGAGGGGACGCACGCCTGGCCCGGAGCCAGCAAGCTGGTCCCTCCCTGCTCTCCTGACCATGCTCCAGTCCTCAGACGCCTGCACACCAGCAGCGCCCTCAGCCCTCGTGTCCTCAGCAGCCGCCTCACCACTGAACGTGGCCAAGCCCTCTGAGAACTGAACTAAGCCAGGCCAGCTCTCGTTATCTGGATCCAACGGGCACCCGTGTGACACTGTAGCACCACGATGCTGCCAGTTGGGCCCAGAAGGCTGCAGTGCCGTCACTGGAGAGCAGCTGGAGGCCTGAGGCTTCCCTCCGAGGCACACACGTAGGAGTGCTGTCAAAGCAGCTACTGCGCCCCTGGCTGAATCCAACACCTAGGACTGCTCCTGTCTGCGACCTGCTGCAGGACCTCTGCCATCACATGTCCCCTCGCTCTGGAACCCCATGTGTGGCAGCCCTAATAAAGCTCTTTTGCTTTCTAGAAGAATCCTTCTCCAGTCTCTCGAGTCCTCAACTTTGGGATCATACCTACTCGGCCAACATTCAGAGTGCCCAGCAGATGCCCAAGTGCTCCTTGGTCTGTGAGCCCTTCCTGAGCTCCTACCCTGTCAGAATACCTTCTTCAAAATATACAACCAAAGACAGTGAGAAGATGCAACTGACAAACAAATGGCTCCCAGAAAGCGAGCCACCTACAAATCATTAGTACTAATGAAAACATGCTTAAATTTAGTCAAGGAAACACACACACACACACACACACACACACACAGCCTGATGCTGGCAAAGGCCTAAGGAAATCGCACTCACACCCTGCAGTGGGAATGCACAACAGTGGCATTACTGTAGAGGGCAATTTGGCAACATGTTTCAAGTACACACTCAATTGAGGGAGGAAGACACAGCCCAAAGGCATGTGCAGGAAGGGCAACTCAGAGGAACAACATGGAAGAGGCCCAGGTTTACAGCAAGACGGCTGAGAACATTAAGTATCCTCTCAGACAGGCAATGTAGCTGGCGTTCTCCACAATCTGGTGGTTATTAACATCTTCCTAAGGAGTTCCAGAACACCCCAACCTGCAACTGTTTTCTTCTCTACTTCCCAGGGTTGCAGGAGGATGAAACACCATCCTGAGTTGATCAGAACTCTGAGAAACAAGTGGGAGGAAATGGGTATTTGTACTTAACACCAAAAAGACAGCGAAGGCAGGCTGCTGCAGCTTGCCCTGGGGTGGCTGTTCTGCTTGCCCAGTGCCAACCCAGCAGCATGCTCTGCTGACTGCCCCTCCGTGGCTGGCTCACACTCCTATCTCCAAGACACCTCTGGAATGCCTATCCTCTCCATCTTTAACTTCTCCACCTGACCGATGCACAACCCATGTGAAGTGGTTCTTAGGACAGGCAGTCTAAAGTTCTTAAAGAACTCAGTCTGCACACAAGACTGAGGGGGATGGCACCTGCAGTCCCAGGGCATCATCCCTCTAAGTGTGTGCCGGGCTGGCACCTCACCTGGTCTGCTCCATCTCTAGCGCCAGACTAAGCAGGGTGGAGATGAAGACACTGTGACACATTCACCCTGTTAGCAGACAGTGGCACCACTGCTGAACCCAGACCCAAGAAAAATCGGGCGCTACTTCTGCTGGAGCACTGTCCTCAGGCTGGATACATGTGTCACTTCATCTCTAGTTCTTCAAATCCCTCTGACATCTCCCAAATCCCTCACTTACTTCTCCACTTTCAGGGGCAAGGGTGACATCGTGGGCCTGTCTCAGGGTACGGGAAATTGAAAGCCTGACTCTTCAAAGTCAGGCCTTTAACCACAGCAACACAGGCAAGCCTCTGGATTTTATCTGCTGAGTTTATTTTTTAGATATTTTCACATCTCAGTCTCTGACAGTGAAGATTAGAGTCAATGAGTGACAGAGAAAATTCCTCCCCAAGACCCAAGCCTCTGGTCACGTTTGCAAGTGGAATCCCAGGCCCCAAGCGGCCCTGGGGCTCGGGGCCATGTTTTCCAGAGCCGGTGACATTCTGACATCCTTCTCCACAACCTAACAGTGTAAAGAGAAGAGACAGCACTGAACAAGCCAACGGGAGCCCTGCCAGGATCCCTGCCAGCCACCCGGTCACCTCCCTCCGTGGCAGATGTCCCTGGCAGGAAAAATACCACTGTTACATCAAGAGCACAGGTCCAAAAATCGGGCTGTTCTCTTCTCCGAATTCACAATCCAGCAAGTTTGCAGCTGCTAAAATGCAGGTAGCAATATCAAAATACTTTGTGTAAACATCTTTGAACACGAGAACATTCGTTTTGGCTTTGTTCCCCACTGAAACACTCAGAGCTAACATCACCATGCACGACTGTGTTTCCTCCAGGGGGCACAATATTTTTAGCACCATTTACATGAACTCAGATCAAGGCATTTTTCAATACATAAATGAAAACTATTAAGTATTAAAAAGCTCAGAATTGAGCTCAAGTATTGTGGTTACTGAGAAAACATCTGCCAAGACTATGGCTACCTCAAGATCTGTGTCTCCTTCCTTGTAATTGACCTATGGTTTGACAAGTCCATTCCTTACCCAAACTTACAGCCAAGAGCCGACTAGAATAAACTTCAGTCAGTACCCTCCTCTGTTAATGCTACGGAACGCTCTTCATGCACATTCAAGATGCTTTAGTCTACGGGATTTTCAGACAAGCAGCAGACTTACATCATACATGGACTTAAAACAGTGGGCATGTTCCCAAACTGAGTGGCTGCTTATGCATTTGAATTATATAAACCAACCCATTCCACCAAATCCGCAATAGTAATTTTTCATTTACTATGAAAGTAAATATAATTGCATGGATCAGCTCACCTCCACCACTGCAGAGCATGTAAAGCCAGATATACTCAAGACTGTAAACCACACATACTCACATACACTCTTTCCAGCCTTGCTGCTGAGGGCCAGGAAGATCCAGGCTGGCAGGCACATCTGAACCAGCTCAGCTCTGGGCCAGCCACAGCTCTTGGGTGTCACACTGAAGTTCAAGGACAGAGACCAACTCACAGCCAAGCACCAGCCACCTGGTCCCCTCTTCCTCCTCAGGAGAGATCGCAAGCCATGTTTTCCAGAACGGTTCCTCATTAAGCATTTCACTTCTGTTAAGCAGAAAAATGTATTAAGTCTCAGCAAACAGGAATTTGCAGGGTATACCTACTTAGGTTTTTATTCTTTTATAACTGAAGCATGAGAGATCTAGGAGGTATAAATGGTACTTGATAAACTTGTATCTGAAATCAGTTCTTCATCTTTCAGTTTACTACCTTCTTACAGTCCCTTAGACCCTTTTCACTGCACCTGACGTGGCTGGAAGGGCTGAGGAGTGAGCCTTCGACCTTGCTTTAGAAAAATTACTTGACACTAGGGCCTATTTTTGCTAAAATATTTGAGGAATCCATTCATTTCATTTTCCAGATTTACTTAACATGCTGAAGACTTTAAATGTTTTTCCGCAGTCACATATCTTAAAGGTATTTATTTTTATGCATACCTATAATTAAGATTACCTGATGGGTTTGTTTATTCCTCTTTAAAAAAAAAAGCAAGCTTTTGGCTTTCAACAGGATATACCTGCAAAGTATTGCTTAAGAAAAAGAGGTAAGAAAACCAACAGTACCTTGTCCTGTGAAGACACAGGAGGTGAGGGTAGGTACCATGCACCTGTACGCTGGGATGCTAGCAGTGCTGGATCACCAAGCAACACCACAGCCTAGTCACTACCTGTAAGACCTTAAATAAACCATGACTAGTCTTAGGGTAAAAGTCCTGGGGCGCAGGGAGAGCACACGAGAAGCACAGGACCAGGCAATCACACCTACACTGTTTCTCCTAACAGAGAAACTGTCAACACAAGAGACCCCACCTCACAGCTAAAATCGGGGGGTACCGAAGGCCATGTCCATCTTCTTGCTCAAAGAAAAGTCTCATCATACACGGACTTAGTACAAAAGGGCACCTTGAAAAGATTATGGAAAAACTAAATCAAAATGTTTATACTGCCAGTTTTTTCCATTTTATGTATTTTGCATCAACTTTTTTTTTGAAGACCCCTTATTTACAGCATAATAAAAGTGTCTGTTACTTTTTTTAATGAATAATCCTGTTCTGTGCATATAGAACATTTTCACAGTGCTGTGTCTGAAGAGGAAGTGCAAACACTTGAGATCTGGTAAGCTGGGCATCGTATGTTGGCTTCTGGTCCTAATGGCATCACGAGCATCTGTGTACACGGTGGAAACCAACCGATGCCAGGGACGGACAGCAACTCAGGAGGCAAGGAGCAGAACCTGAAGAAGCAATGTTAACTCTATGCAACATGACCCAGGCCGTTGTTCCAGTGTAACTGTACTTGGCATGAGAGCAAAGGCAGAAAAAGTCATGCCGTTTAAGGCCAACAGGATTTTTCGGCTAAACTCACAGAGTCCAGAACCTCTGCTCTCTTGCCATGGGCTCCGCGATGGGAAGCAAACACAGTGCAGTTCCTTCAGCAGTCCCTTCACCCCAACACAGGCACGGAACCTCTGGCTGGCCTGCGGGTCATATCAGGCCTGCCAAACCTTGGTCTGGCCCCACCAAGGCAACTGAAGAGGAGACTACAATCCAGTAATCTACAGATTACTTTTTAACCTGATAATATACATGGTCTGTGAATCATGTTATAAATATTCAAATGGCCCTTGGCAGGAAAAAGGTTCCCCTGTGCTGTTCTAGAAAACTGTAGTTGAGAGCTCTCTCCAAGTGGATTAGCCTCCTGACCAAAAGCTGCTCACGTCTGAGAGTGAGAAATGGAGCTAACACTCGGGGTAACTGCAACTGTAGGTTGCCATGAAAAGCCTTTCTCAAGAGAGCCCATCACCTCCACTTCCTCTAGTGCTGCACCTTGGGACGCTCTGCTTCTCATGCTACGACCCCACCAAACCTGAACCACTGTCTGACAGCAGCAGCTGGCAAGACCTTGGCAGAGAAAGCAACATAAAACAGACACATTCTTGTGGACTTTTATCAAGATGGTATTGAAAACCACATTTCTGCACACAAACAGCTGTATCAATCAGGCAAAAAAAATAAATTGCCCAGAAATCCAGTTCAAATTCTCTTAGAACAGTTAAAATGCATAGTGACAGATGTTCACTGCAATGCAGTAGCCAATATGAACCAACAGATTGCAGGGACCCAGAAAGCACAGAGTTCTAGGGTCCAGAGCCAAAGCGTTCAAGGTGTGTGTCAACAACGCTCAGGTATGAGCGGTAAGCATCCCCTGATGCGCAGCTCCCAACACTAGAGAGATACACAGAAGCCAAAAAGGAATCCTCGCCACTTGAATGTGGCTTCCTGGCACCTCCTTGCCTAGGCACTGCCCATCTCCCTGTGGAAGACACTTACAGGTCATCACACACAGAGTCAGAGTGGAGTCCAGCCTTCCCTTCAACAAACATCTGGCAAAATGCGGTCAACACCATCGATGAGGTCATGGAAAAAACACTGAAGTAACAGTCTAGACAGTCTTGTGCATCTAAAGTTTTCTTAACTATGACTTAATTTTCAATTACAAATAAAACAAATTTTTTCAAAGGCTTGTTCCTCTCACAATAGATTAGAGAGCTTATAAATTAACTTAAACCAAATAAAGATTTTAATTGTAAAGTAACTGTGGTACTCCAGGAAAATACTACTTGACAAACGTAAACCAATGCAGGTGCTGCTGAGCCGTGCGAGCAATCCTTCCGGTTCCTGTGAACAACCGCCATGGTGCAGGCCTCTAGGGGACCATGTGGGCCCCAAAGCAGAGCCTGTTGAGCAGGCCTCTGCCCTCACCAGCCAGTCGCCGCCCAGGCGGCCCCTGGCCCGTGGCCTCCCTCAGCTTTTCCAAGTCAAGCCAAGTGCAGATGGAGCCGGGCCTTGCCTTCACACTCAGGTTTACCAGCTGCTGCTGCTCAAACTTTGTCAAGGAAAAAAAATCTCAAGATGGGTTACTGTCAGGCATCCCCTGCTGCCAGATCAGCTGAGATTAACAATAAATGCACCTGAAACACACAAAGTTGGCACAGGGAGCCCCACCTGTACACTTTGTTCAGGGACGGAAGCCACTTGGCCTTGGTATTGCCTCTGAACCCACAGGAGGTGAAAATCCCCATCCTCCTCAGAAAAGCACCAAGTCTACAGAGAACAGCTGGCCCCGTGAGCACAGCACTGCTGCAAGCAGCGCACATCCACACCGACAGGCACTACCTACCGCTCACTCTCAGGTGCACGGGGGACAGACACCTGTCACACTGACCCGCTGTGCCAAGTTCCACGTTCCATCACCACACGCTCCCACGCTCTTCCAGCCCTCACGTGACTCCCTTGTGCACATAATCCTCAATCTTCACAATCTGTTTAAAGTGACCTTAAAATGTAAACTCAAGCAACTCCTCTTTCAAAAACGGGACTTTCAGAGAATGTTATGACTGTGTCCCTAACAGATCCACCAGAATTGTACCACTTAAGCTGACTGTACAGCTGTGGAACTAGACACCCATGACCACCAAAACATAAAACAAAGTATGTCTTTAAAAAGAAAATTAAAAGCATTTCACTATTACAGTTTTGATTTGAGACATAAGAAATTTGTTCCTCTCCAAAGTGAGTCTCCTCTGATATAAAGGTACTTGCCCCATTAGGAAGATGCTGTTTGCACCTTCCAGCAGGTGTGTGCGGACAGACCCACCCTGACCCCAAAACATACTGCATCCCACACAAGGGCAAAGTCTGCAGAGGAGCCCGGCCGGCACAGCCACCAAGGGCCCAGTGTCCCCAGCCTGTCCCTGAGGTCCCAGCAGGGGACTGCGTGGACAGCTCCGCCAGTCCAGGCAGTGCAGGTGCAGGGCAGCGGTCACAGACTCGTCTCCTCACACACTCGGACGGGGACATTGTAGTGCCGATCATCCTCGGTCAGGAGGGTCACCGCCGGCCAATCCGGAGGCGGGTCCGTGGGATAGACGGTGATGAACTCCTCCGTGTTGTACTTGGAGAGCCGGTACACCTGGATGGTGTGCTGAACAGCATAGGCAAGAAGGAACATCTCCACCTGGGAAGACAAGAGAAGCCAGCTTAGGACCAGGCCCTCTAGCCAGTGTCCCTCACACAGCACATACCAAGAACCAAGCCCTAACCTTTTACTCTGCTCGGGGATGCTCCCACCCTCTGCCACCAAGAAGGAATGCCATGCCTGTAAAGGGACTTTACCCTACCTAAGGGTGTGGAGAAATTTAATTCAAAGGTCAGTTTATGCCTGGCACGATAGTGCAATGGTTAAAGTCCTCGTCTTAAACGCTCTGGGATCCCATATAGGCGCCGGTTCTAATCCCGGTAGCCCTGCTTCCCATCCAGCTCCCTGCCTGTGGCCTGTGAAAGCAGTCGAGGACAGCCCAAAGCTTTGGGACCCTGCACCCACGTGGGAGACCCGGAAGAAGCTCCTGGCTCCTTGCTTTGGACTGGTTCAGCTCCAGCCATTCTGGTCACTTAGGGAGCGAACCATTGGACAGATCTTCCTCTCTGTCTCTCCTCCTCTCTGTATATTTGTCTTTCAAATAAAAATAAACCTTTAAAAAAAGTTAATGGAAAACATGTCTTAGGAATAAACTTAAAGAAATTAAAAAAAAAATTTTTTTTGCAACAAACCAAACCTCTTTTAATTCTATTTTTTCATGAAATTTCTGAAGTAACCTCCTGTGTCGAGATATAAAGAACTCCTACAACTCAATAACAAAAATCCACCAGTTGAGGCTGGCATGTTGACTTAACAGGCTGATCCTCCACCTTGCAGTGCCAGCATCCGTACGGGCACATGTTCTAGTACCGACTGCTCCACTCCCAATCCAGCTCCCTGCTCACGGCCTGGGAAAGAACTGGAGGACAGCTTAAGTCCTTGGGATTTTGTATCCATGTAAGAGATGCAGGAAGAAGCTCCTCGCTCCCAGCTTCATACAAGAATACTTCTGACAACTGTCGTCAATTGGAGAGTGAACCAGCAGACAGAAGCTCTGTCTCTCCTCCTCTCTGTAGATTTCTCTTTCAAATAAAAATAAATCAATCTTGGGGAAAAAAAATAACCAGTTAAAAAAAATTTGGCCAAATTATTTGAAAAGGCATTTCTTCAGAGAAGATATGCAATGTGCAAGTAAGCATGTGAGTGGAAATCCAAAACATCAGGCTCCATAGAAAAATAAGAGACGGGGCGCTTCTGCAGAGCAAAGGCTAAGCCGTGAGTCAGAGTGAGCACATCCCACGATCCCGGGAGCGCCAGCCCTGCCAACGCACCTGGGAGAGCATCGCAAGGTGTCTCGAGTGCCTTCGACCTCTGCCACCCACCTCGCTTCTGGTTTCGGCGTGGTCGAGCCACAGCTGAGCCATTTAGGGAATGAACCAGTAGACAGAGGATCTCTGTCTCTCCCTCTGCCTTTCAAGTTAGTCTTTAAAAAAAAATGTATTTATTTTTATTGCAAAGTCAGATATACAGAGAGGAGAGACAGAGGATGATCTGTCTGTTGGTTCAGTCCCCACGTGTCCACAATGGCTGGAGCTGCACTGATCTGAAGCCAGGAGCCAGGAACTTCCTCCAGGTCTCCCACGCAGGTGCAGGATCCTAGGGCTTTGGGCTGTCCTCGACTGCTTTCCCAGGCTGCAAGAAGGAAGCTGGATGTAATTGAGGCTACTGGGATTAGAACTGGCACTTATATGGGCCCTGTCATGTTCAAGGTGAGAACTTTAGCCGCTAGGCCACAGCACCGAGCCCTCAAGTCAGTCTTTAAAAAAAAAAAAAACAACTCCACAGGGAAGCTACCAATTCAGACCTGCGAGAGCGGTTACAAAAACTGATGGGTGACAATGATGAGTGGTCGCTTAACAGGCACAGGGCTTTCTTTCTAGGATGCTGAAAATGATCTGGGACTTCATGCCAGCAGTGCTCACACAACACTACGAACATGCTAAATGCCAATCAGTTGTACATATCAGTTTTTTTTTCCAATGTGAACTTCAACTCAATTAAAATAAAAGTTGTTACGCAGTGCTTGTGTAGAAGGGGAGAAATGGACTTGGACCTTGGGCTCCCCAGTGGGAGGCATTAAGGTGGTGTAACTGCTGTGAAAGGGACTGACAGCTCCTCCAAATGCTAACAAACCACCGGAGGCCCAGCAGGCCCACTCCTGGGCAGACGCAGGTAACTGAAAATGACGTGCACCCTGAACAATGGTACATAAATCCTCACAGCGTAGCTATTCATGAGAATTAAGATGGGAAAACAAGCTAAACATCCAAATTGAAGAGTGGGTGAATCAAATGCTGCCTATAAATGCAATGGTATTTCGTCAATAAAAAGGAATGAAGTACCGATCTATGGCTCAATAGGGGTTTATACTGAATGGGAGAAGCCAGGAAAAAGGACTACAGGATAAGGGCTGCACCTCTAAGAAACCAGAATAGACCACTCTAGAGAGACAACAGGTGATGACTGCTTCCGGCTGGGGAGGAAGTGGGAATGAGAAAAGGTTTCTTCTGTGTATGGTACAGCGGTCTAACATCACACTGGAGGGACAGTCTAAAGGGCGAACAGCATGGTACACAAGTTGTAATTGAAAAAGCTGCATGTTATCTTTGTGGGGTTTCCTTAGATTTAACTATGCACCTGAAAGTCAGAGACAGAGAAAGAGGAGGAAAGATCTTTCAGCCGATGGTTCACTCCCCAGGTGGCTGTGACAGCCAAGACTGACTAAGCCAGGCAGAAATCAAAGGCTCATCTAAGTCTCCTAACTGGGTGGCAGTGGCTCAAGGATTTGGACTACCTTCTGCTGCCTTTCTAAGCCAAAGCAAGGAGCTGGATCAGAGTACAGCACAGGATCAGCAAGGAGCTGGATCAGAGACTGCACCAGGATCACCAAGCAGCTGGATCAGAGTACAGCACAGGATCACCAAGGAGCTGGATCAGAGTACAGCATGGGATCACCAGGGAGCTGGATCAGAGACTGCACCAGGATCACCAAGGAGCTAGATCAGAGTACAGCACAGGATCACCAAGGAGCTGGATCAGAGTACAGCACCAGGATCACCAAGGAGCTGGATCAGAGTACAGCACGGGATCACCAAGGAGCTGGATCAGAGTACAGCACGGGCTCACCAAGGAGCTGGATCAGAGTACAGCACGGGATCACCAAGGAGCTAGATCAGAGTACAGCACAGGATCAGCAAGGAGCTGGAACAGAGTACAGCACAGGATCACCAAGGAGCTGGATCAGAGTACAGCACGGGATCACCAAGGAGCTGGATCAGAGTACAGCACGGGATCACCAAGGAGCTGGATCAGAGTACAGCGCCAGGCTCGCCAAGCTGAAAGAGCTGATGGCATTCACCAGCCTGCAAAAGCAAGCCCCGGCTGATGGCAGTGGTGCTTATAAAACACACACACAATTCTTTGGCATCCCCTACTTGAAATGGTGAAAATTTAATCCCCTCCCCTAGAAAATGGAATGGATAACTTGACTCACAAAATGTGATCTACGTCACAGCATCTGCCTAGATCAGGTCATAAAATGCATTGTGGTCTCCCCTGCTCTCTGCTTAGCTTACTCTGATGACTCCAACCTCACAAAACCCAGAACCACAGCTACTCAATTCAGTGGCTCCAGAACTACTTCCCTACAATAGTGAAGTCATGACTGAAGGCTAAAGCTCTTTCCCCACAGACTTCACTCACCTGTTCAAGGCCACCAGTGTGTCCCACCTGGTTCAGGTGGTTCCTCAGCAGTTGTCCAGGGTCATTTGATGTGTCCCGGGCAAACAGAAGCACAGAGAAAAATGGTACCTCTTTTCCCCTCTCTTTGTCATCGTACAGTTCAATGGCTCTGTTTAGCATCAGGAATTTGACAGCTTCATACAGGCTGTACTCCTCCTCCTCATTTGTGAACAGCTCATCACATGCTTTCTGCCTTGCTTCACAAGTTCTCATTTCAGCCAAGCCTGCCCACTGCAATAAAAAAAATTACACAACAGTTAAAATGCTTACTCTCAACCTCCCTGGTATCTTCCACAGTATGAGCACAATTATTTTCTTTTTTTTTTTTTTAAGATTTATTTTTATTTTTATTAGAAAGGCAGATATACAGAGAGGAGAGACAGAGAGGAAGATCTTCCGTCCGATGATTCACTCCCCAAGTGAGCGCAACGGCCGATGCTATGGTGATCCGAAGCCAGGAGCCTCTTCCGGGTCTCCCACGTGGGTGCAGGGCCCCAAAGCTTTGGGCCGTCCTCGACTGCTTTCCCGGGCCACAGGCAGGGAGCTGGAAGGGAAGCGGGGCTGCCGGGATAAGAACCGGCACCCATATGGGATCCTGGGCGTGCAAGGCGAGGACCTTAACCACTACGCCATCGCGCTGGGCCCCACAATTATTTTCAAAAGGAGGCTCCCAGGTACTGGTGTGCAGCAGAGCAGGTCAGCACCAGCATCGTATTACCGCTCCCTGCAAATACACCAGGGAAAGCAGCAAAGATGGCCCCAGTACTTGGGCCCCTGTCACCATGTGGGAGACATGGATGGAGTTCTTGGCTCTTGGCTCCAGCCTACTCTGGACCTGGATGTTGCTGCCTTTTAAGGAGTGAACGAGAGAACAGAAGATCTCTGTTGCTTTGCCTTCAAATAAATAAGGCTGAAAAGAAAGTAGGCGACCAAGGGTCACAATGCTCACAGCATCCAAGTTTCCAGCTCAAACAATGGTACTTTTCAGATCCCAGGAACTCCTCACTCAGCTTTTCCCCCCAACTACTGTGACACAGAAGTACAGAGCAATAAGGCAAAGCACTGAGGCTATGCAATGGAAATGTCAACTGCCAGGGTTTCCAGGCAAGGCAGACGCCAACGATCAGAGATGCTCGTCATGATGTGAGGCCTGTGTGAGGGTGTATACAGGGCCAGGAGGAATGCACCTGACCCACTTTTCAAGGGCTTATCAGAGCAGCTTCCACTCACACAAAGCCACACCTCCACCGCAGAAGACAATGATGGCAGATGATGTGTCTCCTGTCAGTCTACCAAGTTTTCCCCCTCTAACCTTTTAAAAATACACAGTAAGCATCAAAAGAACAATTCTATTCAGGAAACTATGACTCCTGATTTAAGAATGAAGTCGATGTGTGTCAGGCCTGCAGCTGACATAAAATCCTCTCAGTGAGGAAACCCTGTAAAACAGACGTGTTCTAAGCCACAGTGGACTAGAACCAGAGGTGCTAGCACTAACACCAACCCTTGTGAACAACCAACACACTAAGCCTCTTAAAACAGCAGGTTTTAAATTCAGGAGTAAATTCTAATGGCAATGAGTTAAGAGAACTCTGTCCAACATTTGGGCTAAAATCTGGAATACGCTCTATCTTCCCAGCAGACAGCTGGCTGTCAAGAGCAAGACTACAGACATAGGCAGGTTAGACGGCCTTGGGCCTCACCACGGAGCACAGGGGCTCCCCAAGGCTCAGGCAGCTCACATGCAGCTCGGCCGTAGCTTCCTCAACCGTAAGATGGGGATGAGAGCAGCAACACTTGTAGTCGTGTGAGTAAAACAACTTTTAGGGGAGCCTGGCATAAAACAACTATTATTAATCCTGGCTCAGAATATCAAAAACTAATTTTGAGGCCTGCAAGTTAAGCTGCAGACCAGCATGCCATCCGGGCACTTGTTTGAATCCTGGCTTGTCCACTTCCAGGAAAGCAGTGGAAGACGGGCTGAGTGCATGGGCCCAGGTTGTTGCAGCCATTTGAGCAGTAAACCCAGGGAATGGAAGATTTCAACTCTTTCAAATGAACAAATCTACTTAAAAATAATAATTTTAATGTAATTGTGAACCGGCATCACTTACGCTATTTTTTTCCCCAAAAAATGAGAGTCTATTTGTGGTAGAGATGCCTAGTAGTGCAAAAGTGACAATTCCATAGGCCTCCAAAAAGATGGCAAGGAAGCCATGACCTGGGGCAAAGCTGAAGGGCTCTCCTTCAACCCCTTGCCAGCTTGCACTGTCTACACCTGAGCCTCCAGGTCTCAAGTGCCATGTTCCACTCAAAAGTTACTTAATCTGAATGGAAACAGAATTTTCCTTCCTTCTCTCTCTCCTCCATTTCTTCATAATGGAAGACAATTTTTCTTCTTAACTACTGGACTTTTACAGTGTACTTCACAGTAACCATTTCTTAGCTTTTTAAGTAGAAACTAGGTTCCAGGATGTCAGGGACCCCAGTTCATCCTTGTCCACGTGCCTGTTACATGACAGGCACTGGCTGCAAAGGACAGTCTTTCACAAAGTCTAAGGTTCCAGAGGAGCTACATAGGGCACACCCCGACATGGAGCACACCCCAGAGCAGTCCAGCACCTGGAGGGAGCACATGCTGGGAAGGGCCTTCCTTGCACACCTCCCTCTTGCACTGACGAAGCCTGGAACCATGGACAGGCCCTCAACGTGGGGTTCCTCACTAAAGAGGGTGCCAGGCTGCTCAGAGCAAGGAAGCCAGAGGTCAGTGTAGACCAGCGTAAAAGGAAGACATCTGATCCAAAGCAAAAGTGGAAAGCCACAGAAAGGTAGAATGTCAACATCAAATTGAGAGGAATGTACACATCAAGTTCTCCCTGCAAATCTGTCAAGGAGACTCATACAACAGCTTTCAGAACACAAGTTACTGAATCTTCTCATTGGAAAATCATCAGGAAAGAAAATAAGCCCATCTAACAGTTTTAAATTTTAAGAAAATGTTTTGAGAATTTAGCAAATTAGTGGCACTCATAATACTAATCTGAAGAAACATTGGGGTGGACATTTGCATAGTTATTAAGTCACAGCTTGGGACGCCCCTCGTCTGCAGCAGAGTGCCCTGATTCAATTCCTGGCTACTGCACTCCTGGCTCCAGCTCTGTGCTAATGCGCACCCTGGGGGTGGGCAGCAAGTGATAGCTCATGTACCAGTATTCCTACTGACTGCATCTGGAGCGCTGGGAGCTTGGCTTCGACATGAACCAGCCCTGGCTACTGCAGTCATCTGAGGGATGAACCAGCAGGTACAAGAACTGGCTGTTTGTTTCTCTGCCTTTCAAATAAGACAAAGAAAAATAAAATTTTTGAATGCACTTTTATTCCTGAAGCTTATGACTTGGAAAAAGGCTACATTTAGCAAGGCTAAACATTTCACTGGCTGATAAAATACTTCACAGCCTCAACTCAGAGTACAAAATACTAATACTGGGCCCGGCGCGGTGGCGCAGTGGTTAAGGTCCTCGCCTTGCACGCCCGGGATCCCATATGGGCGCCGGTTCTAATCCCGGCAGCCCCGCTTCCCTTCCAGCTCCCTGCTTGTGGCCTGGGAAAGCAGTCGAGGACGGCCCAAGGCTTTGGGACCCTGCACCCACGTGGGAGACCCGGAAGAGGCTCCTGGCTTCGGATCACCATAGCATCGGCCCGTTGCGCTCACTTGGGGAGTGAATCATCGGATGGAAGATCTTCCTCTCTGTCTCTCCTCTCTGTATATCTGCCTTTCCAATGAAAAAATAATAAAAATAAATCTTTAAAAAAAAAAAAAAAATACTAATACTTCTCCATCCAAGACCTCACCAGAACAGCTTATGTCCATTTAAAATTATTTCGTCTAAAAATGAACCCAAAGCACTTGACAACGAGTTGTGTCAAGACAGAAGTGGATGCTGAGGCCGCCAGTGGCAGCAGCCTCACCCTCCTTGGACAGGGAGCCCCGGGTCCGCACCTTCTTCCTCAGCAAAGCGAGAGACGCTGTGATTCTGCCAGCCAGGTCCTCGCTGTTCCCATCAAACTGCAGTCCAAGTTTCCACTGCTTGATCCAGCTGTATTTACTTATGAGTTTTTCTGGTAACTAGGACATCAAGAAACAGACAAAGAGGTGTTAACATTGTAAGAAATCCATGTCACACAAACCAAGCTGCAAATAGGAAGCAGATAAAGCCCGATTTGGTTCCCAGAATAAATTGCTGCAAATCTGGCATGTGGGTTCAGGATGGAGGTCCCAAATCTAGAACTAAGAAGGGCTACTCTGCAATGGGCTGCCAGAGGGGAACAGGGCTTGTGGTTCCCACAGGCACAGGCTAGCCTGCAGAAAGCCAACCACAGCCAAGGAGGTCCCACACAACTCAGGAAAGGCTAGGGCAGTGTCCCCACCTTCACACACGCCACCCGCCAGCTACGGGCTCGCTGGCCCCCAGCCCACGCCCTTCCTAGTGTGCTTCCAGGCATCGAAGACAATTCTGAGTGAGGTGTAACTACACAAAAGGACTTTGTCAAAGAATACTAACATATACTCTGTTTTTTGGTCCAAGTTAGTTGCCTAATAAATACAGTAAAACTTTACAGAATTACAGCTGAACTACACTATAGGACCAAGCTCTGCCTGCTTCACCCAGCTGAACTCTAGGCTCCTGGTTCCCTTCCCTGCCCATCGCCTGCTGTCCCTCTAATGATTAGGATTATCTGGAGTGTGAAAGGCAAGCTGAAACATAGCTGATGGATGACAGCACTCAGGTTAAGACTGTCCAACAGTCCTGGGTGTTTCCAGAGGAAAATCATGCAATTATAGGCATGTCACTTCATTGCCATTACATTCAGCAAGGAAATTCACCTCCAAGTGAAATGATCATTAAAGAATAATTAACTGAGCATGGTAGGGAGAACTTGAACCTAACAGTTATAACATAGCTTCCAATGAAGCTATTTGGAAACTAAGTCTCAAAAGACCCTTTCACATATGGTCAGTCTGGTTGCACCTTCATAATCTATAGCAATCCTGTGAAATTCAGGTGGTTTCATCTCCACAAAAACAGAACCACAGTAGGGATAGAACTTTCTCTTCAGCGCTCCCACTGAGTGAGGGGACCCACACCAGTCAGGGGGAGGTTGGGTCTCTGCCTCTTGTCAGGACAGCTGCACCAGCTCAGCTCTGTGCCCGCAGCACCTATGTTTTGGCAACATGTGGGCAGCTCTGCTGCAAGACTCTTACTGCACTCTCTGATTATCACCAGAACCCAGCATGCCCCCCGGTGGCGGCCAGCTGGCATTACAACTGGGCACAAAAGCACAAGGGAACAGAAGACAGCTATGCAGAAGTAGGCCTGGAGAGGAGGAAGAGGGAAGCCCAGGAGGCAGGCCAAGCACCGCATGACACACACAGTATCTCAAACACAGGCTCAGCCAGCTCAGCGACCCAGGCTCTCCCACAGCTCTGACTGCACAGCAGGAAGCAATGCACGTCCACTTGCTGGCCCTGCTCATGCCAACCACTGCTGGGGTTCATGACTGAGCTCAGGGCTGCTTGCTTCTGGCAGACAGGGAGAACCAGGAGAAACGCCTCAGAAGCAGGCGTAAGAACAACCATCAGGAAACAACACTCATCCCCCCAAATGAGCAGGACTCTAAATGCTTCCAGGGCGTCAGAATGCATGTGAATGGCCACTCTTGTCAACTAAATTCAGGCACTGGACTTCTGTTAGGATAAAGGAAATTTAAGAAGCAATGGTTGCAAACATTTAGGAATACAGTAACTAGCTTAAGTATCGTTTCCTTTGTGACTCAACTAAAACAACCTGTTTTCTAGCACCCGCCTGTAACTGCTGACATCAGAAAAGCAGGTCATGGCCTCACTCACTCAGAAGGCTTGGGCCCGCCATCTCATGCTGCCTACACCGTCAGAGGCCGTGGGCACAGAGACACTCTGGGGAACGCACAAAGTATTAGATCCCTGCTCCACAGGTCAGCTCCCAAGAACTGAGGTGAGGCCAGGAGCAGGCACTTTGACTGCTGGGGCCTGGCATGGTACCCTAGCAGTTAAAGTCCTCACCTTACAAGTGATAGGATCCCATATGGACACTGGTTCTAATCCCAGCCAGCCCACTTCCCATCCAGCTCCTTGCCTGTGGCCTGGAAAAGCAGTCAAGGACAGCCCAAAGCCTTGGGACCCTGCACCTGCATGAGAGATCCAGAAGAGGCTCTGGGCTCCTGGCTTCAGATCGGTGCAGCTCCAGCCATTGTAGTCACTTGGTATGTAAAGCAATGGATGGAAGATCTTCCTCTCTGTCTCACCTCTTCTCTGTGTATCTGACTTTCCAATAAAAATTTTAAAATCTTAAAACAAAAACCACTGCTATCAAGTCCATGTGTCACACTGGAGCACCTGGGCCCAGCACCAGACTCCACTTGCACTAATAGATCCTGGAGGTAGCACAGGGCCTGTCTAAGCTCAGCTCGTGCACCCCCTCAGAGGCCTGGCTTCTGTGCCTGGCCCCCAGCTTCAGCCCAGGCCAAAGGTAGCCATCATGGTCATCTAGGAGCAAGCCAGAGGGTCAAAGCCTTCTCAGTACTCTATCTTAACATCCAGCACAGAGACTGGAACCTGTACAGGAACAGAAACAACACCCGAAACCAAGGCAGGATGACAGGTGAGGGGAGAGGCTGGAGCGCCGTAAGCCACAGAAAGGCAGAGAGCGAGGACAGGCCAGCGGACAGGACCACGTCCAGCATCTCTGACTAGCCCTCCTGCTTCCTGTCAGTGCCCTCACACAAGATGACATGTTAGGACGAAGATGGCAAAACACCAAAGAGCAACTAGCTGCAGATGGAAAAAGTTCCAGGTCAAAGTTCCACGCTGACGTCTGGCAGTGCACACTGCAACACACACTTGCTCACTTGAAGGTCCCTTGTCAGAGGGGACTTTGTAAGGCAATCGCTGGAGGAGGGTTCTCTGAGTAAGACAGGAATAGCAAGGCGTCTACAGAGAGCCCAAGGGACAACTGCAACGAAGTTAAAAACAGTGAAGGACTGGAGTTGGGATATAGCGAGTTAAGCTGCCAATTCTCATGCCCACATCCCCTATCCAAGTACCAGCTTGAATCCCAGCTCCTCCACTTCTGATCCAGCTTCCTGCCGATGCACCTGAGGAGGTAGTGGACATGAACCAAATACCTTGGCCGTGCCGACCACGTGGGAGAGCAATGGGCTCCCTGCTCCTGGCTTTGACCTGGCCTAGCCCGGACTAGTGTGGTCATCTGGGGAGTAAATCAACAGATGGAAAACCTTCCTCTCCCTCTCCTTCCAATTCTGCGTTTAGTAAGAAAATTTGAATGACCATCTAGTTAAGCACAGACTCACTGCGAACCCTCTGCTTCCTCCACTGGCACTTCAACACTACAAAGCTGATGGTCAACCGGTCACCTGTCATGGCACCGAAGCCAAACAGCACAACAAACTGTCAAACGTTCACACTGCTACACTGCTAGGAGCTGGAGCATCAAAAGACCGAGCAAAGAACAAAGTCACCTCTTCAGCTAACATCAAGCAGACCCTCAGTGCTAACGGGAAAGGTAAATCCTAACTCCGGACAGGTTCAGTGTTCTCCGTGACGCAGGCCTCCTGCCATGCAGTAACTGTTCAATGAGAAACAGCACTCTGACCAACTAGTCTGTGCTCCTAAGACACAAACGCAATGGCCCATGGAAAAGGGAAGAAATCAGAAAGGCAGACACTAGAGCATTTCAGTTCTATTTTCACATCACCCAAATTAGGTCAGGAAAACCACCTGACAGGTCCCTCAGTCCCACATACAGCACTGACTGAGCTGACCCTAAGACCCAGCACAACCACTGAGCTCCAGCCGCTTTTAATACAATCCCAAGAGGAGGCAGTCTCACTGTCTTCAGTGTGAATTGTGTATGCTTAACGAACAACATATATACATATCTGCATTTCCTATAAATAATGCAAAGTCAAATTCAACATCAAGTAAATCCAGATATCTAAATAGCCCCTTAAAGTTAAGGTCTCAAAGAAAACAGCCCAAAATTCTCACAGAATTTATGTCCCACCTATGACCTACGCTGTGGTGTCAGAGCCTTCACTGCCACTTTCGCTAGCAGCCTTTCACAGGTGCGCCTTGGCCGCTGAGCAACAGTGCTGCAAACTGTCTCGCCGAGTGATGTCTCCTCTCAGAGCAGCACGGTAACACTGAAAACTGTGGAGAGGACATACATCTTTGCTTCCAAGAGAAAGCTTCTTCCCATGACACTCAGCTGACGGTGTATACAGGTGATCTGCACTGCTTGATAAGTGGTCGTGGGACAGGCACAAACCTTCACCTGCCACTCATGGCTTTATCCTGTGCCGCCAGGTGGCCCTTTATGCGCTAACAGATGTCTAACTAGCTTAACCAGCAACAACTTTCCTCCAAGTCTCTATTCTGGCCAAACAGCCCAGCTCCTTTCACCGCCCCCAGAAAGAAACCAGCCCCGCAGCCATCTGCCTCTGGTACCAGCGGGCCCAGCTGCAGGTGGGCAGTCATTAGGTGACTCCAGCAAGTTTGCCTTTTAAACACAGCAGGTCTTCACTAACACTTCAACGCTCACAGCTGCTTGCAAGCAATTAGACTCCAACTTCTTCCCCCCTTTAGAGACTGCTGCTAGGCAGCTCTTCTACAGCTAGCATTCCTGGGTTTGTTCGGAGCAAATAATTTTAAATTCTTTCTTTTTCTCTTTTTAAAAAATATTTGTTTGAAAGGTAAAGTTACAGAGAGAAGGGTAGAGAGATTTCCCATCCAGTGATTCACTCAAATGGCCAAACCCGCCAGGGCTGGGTGAGGTGGAAGGCAGGAGCTTCACCTAGGACTCCGACCATCTTCCACATCTTCGTTAGCAGGGAGCTGGATCCGAAGTGGAATGGCCACGACATGAACTGACACCTCTAGGGGATGCCTGTGTCCCACCCAGTGTACCACAAGGCCCACTGCAGGACTTGAGATTTCCTTCCAGCTCGTGTCACACTGTCTGTTCTAAGCCATCACTCCTGCCCACCCACATCCTTCAGAATGTGCTTCAGCCAACCTGGCAAGTGACATTATCTATGTCCGTACAAGAACACGTGACTTTCTTGTCCATCTCTACCATGTGGTATATATGCAAAAGCAGAGGACTGGGCCTGGACACAATCCCTGGCCCTCGCCTCTCCAGGAAGACTCCACATGCCATCAATCCTCTCTTGCTGGTCAGTGTGTAACAGTTCTATGGATTGCAGCTAGAACCAAAAGTATGTAAAATGCTACGATTCAATTCTCAAATAGTAAAACAGCCCACAGCAAGCATCAGAACTGAAGCCGAACTGTTCTTAAGTGCTTTCTACAAAAGCTCAGTATGTGTTAATACAGCTGAATTTTTCAAGTTAGTTTCATCATCCTGTCCTTGAAGACACACTGTCACTTCTGGTCATTTTCCCATGTGCATCATCCCCCCATGCTGGCACAAAGGGGCAGTCCTCTCACAAACACGAGTTGAGGCCGTGTGGACCCCAACCTGCGCAGCAGCGTACCAGTGTGAGCTCGGGGTCCTGCAGCCAGCGGGGCAGCTCCACCAGCTGGCTCATTGCCTGGAACAGCGTGGCCCTCAGAGCGCAGTAGTTATCTCCACGGACTCTCCGGATGGAGGTGAATTTCTGAGAAACCTCCTCGTAGCCCTGGGAAAAAGTACCAAAGAATGAAATGTTTGTGGCAGACAGCAGGGACCATTCTTTCTAGGACAGGGTGGCCCCAGATTGCTGGAAAGACGGAAGCAAGACGGGCTGAACTATTTCCCCTGTTCTGAAGTAAACGAAGTTAAATTTAGTATTGTACAGTCCAAGTACTTATTCACCTGACACACAAGATCATAGCAAATTTTAAAGAACTAGAATTTTAACGCATAAAACCTGGAGTCTCCAAAGTCCTGGAGCCTTGAAGTGTTTCATCTGTTTAAACTAATACTAAATTTTTAAATAGACAGGAAAAACAGATGTTTTAACTTTTATCTTTAAAAATAAAAATTATGTTTTCAAGGGTATCTATAAAAAAGTCTGCAGGATGTAAGATGTCTGGGTAACCACGGAGAAGCAAACGAGGGCAGAGCTCTGCACTTCTCCCATCCACTGGTTTCCTCCCCAGAGACCCCCGAACAGCCACAGCAGGGCCCCACTGGCTGGGAGCACCATCCAGGCCTCCCTCAAGCTACTGCCACTGCCTCCCAGGAATCATGCTGGCAGGAACCAAGACCAGCACTGAGAGAGCACGCAGGCACCTTCACCTAGTGCAGCACCCACTCCTGTCAGACTTTTTTTTTTAAGTAGACTGAAGGGTCCGGCATGAGAGCCTAGCGGCTAAAGTCCTTACCTTGCACATGCCGGAATCCCATATGGGTGCCAGTTTTAATCCCAGCGGCACTGCTTCTCTCCCAGCTCCCTGCTTCTGGCCTAGGAAAGCGGTTAAGGATGGCACAGGGACTTGGGACCCTGTACCCATGTGGGAGACCCAGAAGCAGCTTAACTCTGGCCATTGTTGCCACTTGGGGAATGAATCAATGGACAGATCTTCCTTTCTGTCACTCCTCCTCTTTGTTTATTTTTCAATAAAAATAAATAAATCTTTTTAAAAAGTAGACTGAGGCATCAATCGTGCAATCTAGAAATAAAACAAGGAAAATGCCCAGTGATACATCTAGTCATTCAGAAATAGCCATTCAAATGGACCAGTTTGAGGTACACCCTAAAAGGGACACCATTCAATTGTGGTGACTTGGTCTACAGGCATGTGTGATGGACAAGCCCCCAGTCCATTCAGCCCTGTCATGTGCTCCTAAAACATACTTTCTGTGTTGTACAAAACAGTAATTTTTTCATGCAGTGGGCCTAACACACACCACCTCATCCTGTCTAAGTATTAATTAATGATGCGCAAGGTTCACGTCACAGGATAACACCCTCAGTGAATATGAAAGCACCTCTCTCTGTGGTCAGTGTTGTGGCACAGCGGGTAAAGCAGCGACTTGTGAAGTCAGCACCCGTGTGGATGTCAATTCAAGTCCCTGCTCTACACTTCTAACCCAGCTCCTTGCTTAGGGTCTGGGAAAAACAACAGAAGATGCCTCAAGTGTTTGGGCCTCTGTCAGCAGGTGGGAGAGATGACTCCAGGCTGGCCCAGCCCTCGTCACTGTGACCATGTGGGGAGAGAACAAGCAGAAGGAAGGGCTCTCACATACACACACTTTTTTAAAAAGTAAAAAGCATGTACTTCTTTCCAATAGAAGTTTAGGCGATGATTGCTTACACAGTAGTATAACCACCACAACAAGTAAGGATCCATCCAGCAGCCTCTTCCTGTCCATGGACCCTAAACATACAAGAAACGCTCATAATGGCAATCCATCACTCACTCATGCTATTCCAAAGATGAATCAACCCATCTAACATTGAGTTCAAATTGAAGCACACCTAAAGAGTATTCAAAACAAAAACAGAAAACCAGGTGAATAAGGACCCCGCAGAAGAGGACTGCTGTCCCAGGCGTGTGCTACACTCCTGCCAGATGCTGAGACCTCCTTACACCATCAGCAGAACTGGCCTCTTCATGGAACTAAAACTCACAAAGGAGTTATTTTCACCAAAAAGGAATGACTGGATAACTCTGACATATTCAACCATAATCTTTAAAACATCAGTTACTAGAAGAGACTCTTTGAAGAGACTGAGGTCATTAAGCTGTAAGTGACAACGAATTTCTGCGGAGGATGAGGTGATACAGTTTAACCATCCAGCTTTCTGGCTCATTAGCTGGCCGCAGGGCCGCAAGTCCAAAGCTTACGAGGCGTCGATAGCACATTAAGCAGACAGCCTCACAAGCACTGTTCACCTCTGCAGGAACTGAGCGCCAGGTGCCTGCGTACTCTACCAAAGGCCGCGACCAGAGTCAACATGCCAGCCCTACAAAGGACGGGGTCCACACTCGCTCTCAGACAACTGCATCTGGGTTAGGTCAGCTCAAGAGCACCTGGAGTGGGCCTGGGGGAGCACGAGGACGGCCCAGAGCCTCAGGATCCTGCTCCTGCATGGGTGACTGGGAGCAGGCGCCCGGCTTCTCTCTACATTTAAAAGTTGAAAGAAAAAAAATCCAAGTATTTGAGAATTTAAAATCCTAAATAAGAAAAACTCCAGCAATTTTTTCTATCAAAATTTTTTTTGCTTTCAAATTTATAATATAAATAATCCAAAAAAGAAAGAAGAGTGAAAGATACAACCCAGATGTAACGAAACAGTGAACATTTTAGATAGAAACCGCCATTTTTGTAGCTTAAAAACCAACAGTAGCAATTCCACATGGCACAGCTATTAGCAGGAAGAGCCCAGAGCATCTACTGCCAGAGAGCAGGCCCAGCAGACCGCAGCATCTGAGCCGAGCACTCTATGGGCCCACACAGTGACGCCACGTCACGGGAGGTCCCAACGTCTCCTGGCCACCCACACAAGGGACTGGGAGGCCACAGCTCCTGGGTACAGGCGAAGTGACGGAGCCAATGTGAGACCCCTGGGCCCTGGCACACCAGAGGGCTCTACGCCCCGGCACTGGAGAACACGTACCCAAACCTGGGTGGCCAGGAGGGCAGAGGGAGGGAATTAAGCAGCACCACCCCTGAGGGTCCACACCACCAGACCAGGAAAGCTTTCTCAAATGACCACAAAAGGATGACTAGTGGCTGGTCCAACGATGAACAGCACAGTTATTTATGGATTCACACACAAAAAAATACCAAATAACTGATGCTGATTCTATATTAATATTGTGACTCTAAAGAAGTACCTTATCTTCAGGGTCTGTTTCCTCATCTCTAAAATTAGAGCACCAGTATTGACACAGGCTGCTAGTAGTTGTAAGCAATGTCTAAAAATACAAAGTGGCATATTTCACAACTGACGACAGACACTTGAAGGACCTGGAGAACTGTATGTACGCCTTTATGTTATACCTTTCTCATACACGTCGCTTTCTGCGTATGTCCCCGCCATTCTTTTTTGCAATAGTCCATGATATCCATTTCAGGAGCCACACTTAATCTGGGTTCTGTTAACAAAACAAAAACAAAATTATCAACAAAGCACAACCAGTTAACAATACTGTTCCACTCACAGGTCACTCTTGACTCTTCACTGTCTCACCTTATTTCAAATGATCCAGATTGCACACGGCCTCCTGGATTAGAACAGCACCTCCCCAGCAGACAACCACATGGGCTCTCCCTGCATCCCTCCCACGGAAGCCAGCAAGGGAGCTCCACCTAAAAGAGACAGCCATCACTCTGGGCCTGGAGCGCGCCAGGGGCTCTCCGCTGCACTTGGCATTACATCCGCGTTCTTACTACCTGCAGGCCTGGGACTGTGCCTGCCCCTTCTGCCTCACTGCCTACCACTGCCTGTACTGCCTGCTCCTGCCCTCAGCCCCCCCGCACACCCAGCAGGGCCGCCCCCTCCCTGCACACAGGCCTCTGCTGCAGGGCTGCCTAGTGGCTCTGTACCCTAAACTCACTCACTCTCTCTCTCTCTCTCTCTCCTAGTGCTGAGCAGCACTCAGCATCCCTCCTTTTCCCAGGTGAGCTCCCCTGAGGGCAGGTTTGTTTCTTATCTGTGTCCTCAGCACCGGGAGCTGCACTTACAAGAGCCGGTGAATATTTATCTAACCTTAATAAAGGTGGACAAAGCCTGGGGCTGACACTATGGCACACCAAATAAAATCAGAAGCAGCAATGCCAGTATCCCGGTTACTTCACTTCCAATCCAGTTCCCTGCTGGATGTCTGGGAAAGCAGCAGCAGAGGACCCAAGTGCCTGGGTCCTGCCACCCACATGGGGAACCCAGAAGCAACTCCAGCCTTCTGCAGACATTTGGGGAGTAAACCAGTGACTGAAGACCTCTATGTCTCTCCCTCTCTATAAAGTTGCCCTTCAAATAAACCTTAAAACAAACAAAAAAGAATGCAAAAGTCTGAACTATGAGCAAATACCTCTCAATCTATACTTTTACATAATTACACAAAGAAAATAAAACCTGTCACAACAAAAAATTACATTAAATGGTCAGAATTTATATCCTGCCCCAATTCCAAAATATTCCAGATTGTCAATAATAAACTAGAAACAGTTCTCCAATTTTTTGATCCATCTGGCTCCAACAACGCATCCCTAAGACTAAAAATGCAGTTCAATGCCAAATGAATGTTAGAATTTTTAAAAATAACTTTTAGATTTTCTTGTGTAAAGTGCAAGCTTGGGGTTTCACTTGGTGCTAGATGTGCTTGCATGGACATGCCTGTTAGGGTGTATGTTTCAGGAAGATGATGAGGCAGGCCTTCACGCCCATCCGGACTTCTTTAAATTACTGAAGACACAGATGTCAGCAATGATTTTAAGATATAAATACAGAAGTGCCTTATAATACATTTACTCCTGTGGAAGTTGCACATTAAACACAATTGTTCTACTCAACAAATATTCACTGAGTGTGCAGGTGGTGTCAGGCATTGAGTGGGGCTCTGGCACGTGGAGAAGGGACTGTGTCCTGAAGGAGCTCCGAGACCACAGAGAAGGAAAGATGACAGGCACGCGGATCAGCGGCAAGAAGCTGCTCAAAGAGAGGAGGCCACAAACACTTCCTAGAGTCTATAAAAATCCAATTGTTCTTTACGTAAACCACAGGACCTGCTTTTTAAAAATCTCATGCTCAATCTTTTTATTTAAAAAAATCAACTTTTAAATAAAAGGGAAAATACCACACATCCAGATAAGACACAGTTGCCCCGGAAGATCAAGGCAGGAGGTGCGTACACCAGTGGCCCACGGCCAATCAGCACAGCAACTTCCTCTCAAGTCCCAGGACATCTCCTCACTGCTCCTCAGAGGGATGTCCTTTCCACTCCGTTCCCCAAAGCCGGAAGACTCACAGATCAACACAGCCAACACACACTGGCCCCATGTGCCCAGCAGGCAGTGTGAAGGGACTGCCTGGAGAGCACACTTCCACTCGGGAAGGACTCTCCAGAAGGAAAGTCCCCGCTCCTCTCTCCCGGAGCACTTACACATGCCAAACAAACCCTGACCTTCTGTGGGCACGATAGGCCCACGACCACAGAAGTGGGCTGGGGAGCCCAGGGCCTCCGAGAGGCCGAGCCTGGGTCCCGGCCAGGTGCTGAAGCAGACATCTCCGCAGGGCAGTGAGGGCTGGGAAGACCCCTGCACAGCACATCAAACCCCCCATCCACTGGAGTTCAAAGGGCAACAACAGCTGCAACAGGCCCCACCCTCGGATCCGGCCAAGAGCTACAGGCTCAGGACAAGGCACTGCCTGACCTCAAGCAGCCCAGGACAGTCCCTGTCACTGCAAACTATCAAGATCAAAGAACATTCCCCAAACAAGAAAAACTGAAAGCCAGAAGGAACCAGGAGCGGAAATGATCCAGATGTTGGCTCCTAACACAGATAACAGAGACACATCCGATCCTCGGAAGGTGGGCAGAAAGCCCCTCGGAAGCTGGCCTGTTGGGCAAAGAGTACACTGGCACAAAGAACCCAGACGCTTCTGTGAGAGGGCAGATGGGAAAGTGGCCTTCGAGCCACAGGTTGTCAGAATCGTTCAAGTTCACCATGCATAGGCACTATGTAAGTTAACACAATCCAATGAAAGGAAGCAGGTCAACAGGGCTGAGGAGCCACAGTGCGCTGATCCCTGGGCTTGGCGCAGAGTGAGAAAAAGTCCCTCGGCAGTAAAACAAAACAAACAAACAAAAAGAAAACCACCAGCTGACTCCACACTTTCTCCTTATGAAAATGTCAAGTAGCCATGGCAGGAGTCCTGGGACATCCGCTGAGGTTTTCAAGCAGCCTGAAAGAGCATGGCCCAAGCACAGGAGGCCCAGACACAGGGAAAGGTGCAGCATCTCCTCCAGAAGACTCAGCAGGACCACTAAAAGCACCACTGCGTACCAGTTAATTCTGATGACAGCCATGGTAATACTTCTGTTGATTATGAAAGAAGAATTCAAGTCTCAGAAAACAGCTGGCAGAACATACGCAGCACTGAGAATGACAGAAAATGACATCGATGGTATACCCCAACTGGAGGATCCCCACTGGCCTGTACAGGAGGCATGCCAGGAGGAAGGACACGGCTCCAGAGCAGCCGGCGCTCCCTGGCCTTGAGGTCCATAGAGATATGGCCACAAGTCACGCCTCAACAGCAGTGGGACCCGGCTGCAGGGAGAAGCCTGGACGTGACATCACAGTTGACAAGGATAGGGGCGAGGCCTCCTGTGCTCATCCTTTCTTGGTGGTCCAGCAGGTTCACTTGGCCATCTGCACACCATGACATCCAAACCAGCTGTTAGGCATCTTGATCTGAAGTGAAAAATGCACTCCAAATCTGAACTCTTCCTTTAAGATTACAGGAGAACCAAGGAACAACAGAGGGCGATTTTTAAGAGATTCAACAGTCCTCATGGTGCAGAAATGTGAATGTGAAGAATGAAGGATACCCACATCAAAACCCACAAAGCTCAGGAAACCATCTTCACTAAACACACGTAAGCAAATCATCAACGTGCATGAGAAATACATGTGAAAATATTCCCTAGGAAGTGTACGTTGGTATTTTATGAAAACAGATGTAACAATTTAACTGCATTTTCTACTATAAACGTAAGAACTCTATAAATAAAACAGTTCCAAACATACCTGATGCCCCTTTTTCATGTATAAGCAATTCTCTCTCCTTTTCTATTTCATCTGCGGCACGGTACATGTCCTCCTCGCTGAAATCACACCAAAGCAGACATTTTCAAACACTCATTACACTGACATTTTCTGTCACATCACAATATGCAACTGCCCACAAAATGTGTAAGACAGTTTAACCCTTTTCACACCACATGATGACCACCTGACACAACATGGGTCGTGTATATTGAATGCAGTTTCTCTCACGCACTCCCTTCCAGTTCAGAAAGTTCTGCTTTAAAGAGACAATATACATTTGTGGGCCTGCTACCTGGCTCCAGGTATCTAGAGTTAGCACACATCTTATCAGTGAAGCTTCCAAAATGATTATCAATGTTCAAGATCAGAGTGCAAACAAAAATACTGATATTGCAAAGTAAGCCAACTGCCAGCCTTTGTCATAAGTCAATCTGACAACAGGTGCTCTAAAACCAAGGACACAGCATCCCCAAGCTAAAACCTCAAGGTCCATCCTGCTCCCTGAGCCCCCCCAGTCTATCAGCCCACCGCATTCTGGCACGCACTGCCACTGTACCACATACCCTGTTTTTACTATTGACTTGCCACTTCTGGAAGTCTGACAGTTCCTGAAATCGTTCCCAGTTTCGTCAGTCAACTATTAAGAGCCTAATATGCACTAGAAATGAAAGGAAATCCCATTAAGAGTAAGGCAAAGAGGAAGAACTGGAGTCCTGGTTTGAGTATGCCTCTTTTCCTCTCAAAATTCACCCCAAAATGACAATGAAAGAAAGCAATTGCTCAAGCTTGGTTACAAAAGTCCAAATGGAAAGCAAACAAAATTATAAACACTGCAGGGTAATTACCAACAGCACACCAGGCAAGCCAGCAAAATCCCAGAGTGGCTCAGGCACGGGGAGCCCCAAGTCCTTCAGAGGACCCAGCACACGCCAAGCTGCAAGCAAGCAGACCGGCTCCCTCAAGGAGAAATCCGGCCCCCCACACCCACACTAAGACTCAAGGCTCCAGACACAAAGGAACAGCTCCTCTTGCCGGCGCCAGATTTTTAAAAAATAGGAATTAAGTGACTGAGATATTCCCACCCACTTCGCTTAGCACCCTCAGCTCTTAGCACATGGTATAGCCAAGTTGCAGAGGAAGGGCTCAGAGAAGTCAGTGGGGTATCCAGCCTGCTTCCTCTGAATCCTTCAATGGTTCCTAAAGCCAAGGGGACTCAAGGTCAACTCTGGCCCCACCAGCTCTCCATCCTGGACTCAGTCACTCCCCTGCACACCTACTTCGTCTGCTCAAACACCTGATCAGATCATCCTGTGCTTTGATTCAGGCACTGCCTTGTCTTGAACGACTCTCGGGCTGTCCCCTGCCTCAACACATCCCACGCAAGCGCAGGGGAGCCTACGGCAGGTTGCGGGGGTCACAGTGGAAATGCAGCAGCGGGGCTGTCATCAGGGCCTCCCCACATTATCCTCCTTGGGAACTACAGACAGTCATTATCAGGGGCATGATGTGTCTTGGTGTATCAATTTAATAACCTATTTTAAAAACACAGTAAGCACTCATCGCAAAGGACTACTGTTGGAAATAGACACATGTAAAGTAGTTAGCACTCAAAAACTATTAATCCTCATTCTGTACAAAGTGGTGCCAAATGTTAATAAAAAAAAAAAAATTCCCAGGGATCTTTCTTATTCCTTTTGCCCTTTTAAAATAGAGGATAGTTGAAATGGCTCACACAAAATGGCAATAGCAGGTAAGCTGGGGCCAGTGCTTGCCCAGCAGCTAAGCTGCTCCTGAGGTGGCTGCACGCTGGCTCTGCTCTGGTTAGAACATTCTGGTAATGCACACCCCGGGTGGGCAGCAGGTGTAGCAAATGGCCATGTCACCACGGGAGAGCCAGACTCACCTCCCAGGCAGATTCACCTCCCAGGCCCAGCAGCTGCAGGCCACTGGAGAGCTGAACCACAAAATAGGAGTTGTCTCTGCCTCTAAAATGTTTAAAATTTTTAAAGCAAAATTTATGTTGGTGCAAAAATATTTTGAAGTGTATTCATGCAACAGGTCTTAAAGGTTCAGGAAAAGCACATTAGGAAAAACTTAACGACTTCACAACGCTCCTGCACTAAAGCCAATGATCTAACGCCGCCTCCATTAACTCTTTGAAGTGTACCCGTATACTCAAACACCTGCATGAGAGCAAGACCGAGTGTATGCGCACTCACAGGAGATCGTGTTAACGCTGTGGAGATAGGGAGAAGGTACTTTCCATGGCTCTGACTCCACGAAGATCTCAAGCACAAGGCGTGACGTCACCCATGGAAACATGCCAGAATTAAAAGCAGACAAACTTGATTCGCTATAATGAAACGCCAAAGACTCAAAATAAAAAGTGACCAAATAGGATCAATCTTCTGCTAACAGATGTCCTCTTCGGGGACGCTTCCTACCTCATCAAAGCACACATTCTAATCCATGGAAGTCATTGAGCAAGTCACTCTCAAAATACCCCCTTGGACGAGCCACTTCCCCAATCTTGGCTTCAATTTTCTCTTCTTCAGAGCACCACAGGCCAAGAACTCTGATCTGCATAGTTGGTCTGTAGGTTCTTCTTTCTAACAGCATACAAATACACTGGTTATTGACACCTGCACCTTGGGGCAGGCTGGGATTGATCAGGTCACCCAAGCCCCACACCCAGCAACCAGGATCTCACAGTAGACCTTGGAAACCTGCAGGCACCCCGGGGTGCAAATGCACTCATTGCTTTCTGGGTTTCCTTTTTCTCTCCCTCCTCTCCCTTCCAGTTTTTTGAAAGGGGCTTCAAGCAGTGGCTAGCCTTCATACCCTTTTGGCTCCACTTGCATACTCTTCTTGATCCAATAACCAAAGGGTAATCACGACACCAAGGCTGAGGAAACTGAAAAATGATCAGGAGAGGTACACAGATCACACAGGTCAACAGGATGGGAGCAAGAAGCAACAAACAGGAGAAAACAGAATGAAACACCAAGCGAACCCAGAAGCAGAAAGACTATCAGAAATAAACAGCAGTGATTGGGGGTACAGCAACGCAGCCAAGCAGAAGCGGGGAAGCAGCCCAGAATCAAACCAGCTGAATCACAACTCAACTGCACCAAAACCCCACTGAAGAACAGTGTGCTAACTTTCACGGCCACACAGCTCACGGATATGACCCCAAACCCGCCCCACTCAGAGAGCAGTTAAGCTGCGCAGTGAAGCAAGCTCCATCAGCCAGAGAGGAAGAGCGGTAACAGGTGAGTGACAGCCACCATTCCATATGAAAGGACTTCATGGAAAATGGAACTTCAAGCACAGTTTGGTGCAAAAGATTTTTGTAATCTATGAACGGTTTTTCCACAATCCACATTTTTTATGTCTTATAAAAAAAAATTCACCAAAACACTTTTAGGCACCAAAATAAACTCATACTTTTTAAATTTCATTTTTCCAAGCATTTTTTAAAGTGTCCTGCTATTGCTATAATCAAGTAGAGAAGGAAAAAAGCGCTTCACTCAATAAACTTTGGCTTTCAATTTTACTACTAGGCTGAGAATATTAATAAATTATCCTTAAAGCTGGCTATAAGAAATAGGGATAAATTCTCTGAACTTTTGTAATGGGAAGACACAGAAGCCACTAAGGAAAAGGGATGTACCAGGGTAACGCCACCACTGTGTGACAGTGCAGACCCAGCCCCTCGGGGGCGCTGGACAGGGCGGAGGGGACAGTGTAGACAGAGGGGACAGTGCAGACCCAGCCCCTCGGCGGTGCTGGACAGGGCGGAGGGCACAGTGCAGAGAGGGGACAGGCGAGCTGGGGCGGGAGGTGTCCACAGCAAGAGATCTTCTAGAACACAGCTAAACAGTGCTAAAGAGAAGTGGAGTCTTGAATAACTTCATTTCCTCTTAATTACACTGTTTAGTTAAACTTTAACACCCAAATGCTAATCAGTTCCTAGTTAGAGAAGCCTTAGTTTGGCCCCAGGACACTGTTTTTCAGTGTGTAGTTTCAAGTTCCCATTCCATAGTGTTTATCTGGTTTCGCTTAAGCAAGATATGCAACCGCATCATCTTCAAATTAAGGCAATACACCCAATTGAGCAAACTCTATGACCCTGCATACTGAGACATGACCAACTTACTGCGTTCAAAGACCTGCACACCACCTTCAAAAATTTATTTTTACAATGTCCTATATCAAAATAAGATTATGCTATTCCTCATAGCAAGTTATGTTGAAAACTGAATTTAGTGCAGTGTAAGACTTTTTGGTTAGGCTAATTTCTGACTGTTCATTCAGGTAAATCTGAGGGGGGCAGGGGTTAACTCTCATCTTGAAAGTTAACAAGATGTCACTGAATCATTCTGCACCCAGTTCTCCAACTCAGCATCCAGCCCTCTACACTGGAGCTCCAGTCACGCCTGCCTGGCCCATCCTAGGAGACCAAGGGCCCAGGTAGTGCTAGGGACACCACCACAACACAGCAAGGGCAGAGACCCCCTCACCTCAACGATCTCCCCCATTGCTCAGCAGCCACAGAGGAGGGTGAACACATGAAATGCAGGAAAGTACCTGCACCCCAGCCAGCAGTCCACTCCTCTTTCCCCAGTGACTCCCTGCCAGAGACAGTTGGGGAATAGGCAGTCACCCTCAAGCCTGAAGGCCTGAGTCTTACCACACCCAAACTCTGGACCCTGAGGCCAGCACTTATCAAGGTCAGGATCAAGGCAGGAGATGCTTCCGTTTCCCCCATGGACACACCTCATCCCTTACCCATGCCCAGAAGCTTCTGAAGGAGGCACAGGGCAGAAAACATGCAATACGGAAGTAGACCTAGCAAAACCCACAAGTAGCAGTTTAGTACATTTTTGCTGTTTCTGGCCCACTGAAGAATGCAGAGCTCTTACCAGAACCCTGCCAAAAAACATAAACACACATAAGGTTTGCTTTCAATATCAGAGTGGTTTAGACAGTCCCTCCCTACACACAGCCAGCCCAGAGACCCCAGGCACAAACTGTGCATCTCCAGGCAAAGCCATCACGGCCAGCGGGTCGCCTCTCCTCTCCATCCCTACACATTCCTGGCCTGGCCACGAGCACTTCCCAGGACCACCTCAGTCCCCCAAGAGGACAAGGCACAGACAAGAGCCCAGCGCTGGGGGCGGGATACGCAGGAGACAGAACAAGAAAGCTCCAGAAAGGTAACCAATCTGTCTGATGGGAGATGTGTCCGGACTGGGGCCAAGCTGTCTTTGGACTTATCCTTCAAGTGTGCCTGGCTGTCAAACGAGCTGACTGAAGGGGCGGGGAGGGGAGACCACAGCGAGGTTAGCAAGTGGCTTCTCCACGCCACTTGTTTTCCCACGTCTCTCCCTGGTGAAATGGCAGAGGAATCAGAACAGCCGATTCTGCTACATTAGACACCTGAGTATTTCAGAATCCCATCCCAAACTGCTAATTCAGCTGCAAAAGTTATGGTTTGTATTCATAAGTATTGCCTGCTGAGGGGGAAAAAAGACCCTAGGATATCACAAAATATTCAGTTTTTTTTTTTTTTTTTTTTTTTTTGTTTCATGCTTCTAGCTGCAAACACTACTCAATTAAAACTGGGTAGAAAGACCTTGGTTCCAGGGACCTATCCGCTCCTCCCCCGCACAAAAAAAAAAAGAAAAATCTAAAGGGAGCATATTATCACGCTGTAGGAACTGACATGCATACACCATATTACTACATCGCAAACTAAGCAATGTCTATATGATACATGCAATATTGTTTCTCTAACCGTGAGAAAACATCACAAACAGCCCCGGAACTCATACTTTCTGCTGATTCAGGAAGAAGGAAGTGGGCCAGGATGCCCCCATTGAAGACCCGACGTGCAACGCTGACATCTGAGCATGCTTCTCCCCTTCCGCGGCCCATCTAAGACTCAGCAGACAGGGAAGGAGCACGCAGGGAGGACAGCCCTCAAGCTTGCTCTCACCAGCGACGCCCGCGCCCTGGCCCAAGCGGTCCCAGGAAGGAGGGAACCCCTGCAGCCCCGGGGAACCTAGATCCAGCACTCCCTTCCTCCCCACGTCAGCAGGGGACTCAGGGCGGCCCAAATAGGATCTTAAAAAGGCACTTTTCAACACAAACTGGATGGAATTTGACATTCCTTTTTCTCACTGAATTTTTTTCACTCCCCCTTCCCAGAATTCTATTTAATGCAATATATATTCATATTGAAACTTACCACGGAAAAGTACTGGAAAATCTTATTACAACTATTAGTAAAAATGTATCCAAATAAGCTAAATTATATTGGATAATCTTTAAAAATCACCTTAAGAATGCTATATATACTTTAGACATAGGATTTACTTCAATTCTCCTATTGTGGAGTTTTACCGATGTTAACTACTAAGAAATATTGCTCTCAGACAGAAATGGGGTTTGTTACATGACAAACTCTCTGAACTGCATTCCTTGTCCTAAGTATCGGGAGAAGTCTCTCATTAACGTTACTTTTAGGTTATCCGCTAATAAGTCTCAGTTCTCCAAAGTGCTGAACGCAAAAACAAAGAAAGCACCTCAGCTGCAGAGGACTGGAGACCCTTCCCACAGTGACCCCTCTCCCTTCTTTAGAGCCGGGCATCTCTTCCGCCAGGCTCTCCTCAGGTGCTAGCCCGGAACCACCTGCTCCGCTGTAGGTGAGTGGCCACCGCCATGCAGGGCACCTCCCCGGGGACACACACAGCACTGGCCCCTAACTCGTGCTTCTGGCCGGAGGGTTCCTCTCACTGGGGCACAGCAGGTGGGGGCGGTCCCCGCCAGGGAAGGCAAAGGAAGCTACGCAGCAGCCCCACTTCACCTTCTCCCGAGCCAAGAGGTGCGTGGACAGCACGCCGGGTCCAGGCAGCTCACACCTGGGCTGCTTCCGGGCGTTCAAACGAACAAGATCAATCAGGTGCCACTACTCAAAAACCAGGCTGCTTCATGCAAAAGCCAGATGCTTTCTGCTACAGAAGATCCGCCAACTCTAAGCTGGAGCTCAGGGGACGCTGGCCGTTAAGAAACACACCACCTCCTCAGGTCTCCCTGGGCTCCACCTGGCCAGCGTCACTCCTTAGGTGACCTGCCCTGGCTCTGCGTGGCAGGAACGTGAAACACCCCACACCAAAATCCACCCAAATCTCCGGGGGCGGGGCGGGCGCGGAGGCTGTCACCCCTTCAGTGAGTAACGCCAAAGCCGGCTACAGAGCAGCACGCAAACGCGTTATCCAAACGCCAGAGCTACACAAGACTCCTTTACGGGAAAACCAAGGGGGCGGGCGCTAAGTTTTAGGATGCATTTAAACACGTTTTACAGTTTAACTTCCCAGTCCACGAAGCTCCGCTGTCAAACGGGTCGTGAACTGAATTCTAGAATCCCACAGGCACTGGGGCGCGCCCGTTCCTCCTCGCCGGTTCACCTGCGCCCCCCTTCACCGCACAAGGCCGGGCCGGGACCGGGGCTCGGGGTCCCTGGCCGCTCCGCCGTCCCCCGCGCCGGGCCGGAGAAGGGGAAGGAGCCAGGCGGGAAGGGAGGCGGCGACGAGCCCCCGTTAGTCCGGCAGGCTCCGCCGGGGTCTGGAGACACACCGACGGCCAGCAGAGAGGGGGGCACTCGGCACGGGGCGCACAGTCTCCTCCCACGGTCCCTCCTCGGCGAGCCGGGCACCGAGCCGAAGCCCAGCCCCGGACCGGGCCCGCGCCCGCCGCCCCCGGTCCCGCACACTCACTGCTCGGCCGGGCACCGCGCCGCCGCCTTCCCGCCCTCCCGCGCCGCGCTCTCGGCGCAGCTAGCGCCCGGCCACGCGCCGGGCTGCGGCATGCCGTCCCGACTCATGCGGCCCGCCGAGCCCAGGCCCCCGCAGTCCCGGAGCTCGCAGTGCCCGTCGCCGTCCGGCTGCCCCGACGGCCTCGGAGGGCCCGCAGGACGCTTCCGCACGCGTCACGGCGCCCCGCCCCGCGGCCTTTGAACCGTCCCGAGGGGGCGGGGAAGCCCGCGACGCGGCGCGTGCGCGGAGGAGAGCCGAGCGGCCCGGGTCGGGAAAAAGGTCCCGCGGGACGGCGACTGCGCATGCCCCATCGCCGGACTGCGCGGACGGCGGTGGATGGAGGCCACGGGCGGCACCTGGCGGCGGAGGGCCGGCCTTCGGTGTGAAGGGCGCTGACGCCCCACCCCGGCCTTCCCCAGGTGAAAGTTCTGACCCGCCCGCCCCGGCCGGCTGCCTTTCGCCGCAGCTGCGGTGTGAGGCTCGGCGCCTCAGGGCCGCCCCAGCCCGGAGCGCGGGACCCGAGTTTGCACGAATGCAGTACCAGCCTGCATCGTGGACGCAGAAGCAGGAGTGGTGTTGAAACCACATCATGAAAACCAGGTTGAGCTGACCCAGGGAGCAAGTGCTTCATTCTCACTTTTCCAAAGATATTTACGTATTTGCAAGACATAGAGATACACCTTCCATCTGTAGGTTCACTTTCAAAATGTCCCTTAATAGCTCGACCTGGGCCATGCTGAAACCAGGAGCCAGGAACCCCAGGCTGGTCTCCTACCTGAGTGGCAAAGACCCAAGGACTTGAACCATCTTCAGCTTCTTTGCCAGGCGCGTTGGCAAGCTGCTGGACGGAAAGTGGAACAGCAGCGATTCAAATCAGTATGGGACCACAGCAGACAAGCAGGGGCTTAGCCCCGCTGTCCCACAGCGCTGGCCCCAAAGACATCATCTTAAAACAGAGAAGGCAAGGCAAGGAGAACAGATTGTGAGGGTGTAACGGAAAAGCTGACTCAGGAGTGTTTGTGGGGCCCTGGCCGTGATGGCTCAATTCTTGGCTAAGTCCTCGCCTTGCATGCGCCAGGATCCCATATGGACACTAGTTCATATCCCAACTGCTCTGCTTCCCATCCAGCTCCCTGCTTGTGGCCTGGGAAAGCAGCGGAGGATGGGCCAAAGCCTTGGGACTCCGCCTGTGTGGGAGACCCAGAAGAGACTCCTGGCTCCTGGTCTTGGACCTGCTCAGCTCCAGCCATTGCAGCCACTTGAGGAGTGAACCAGCGGGTGGAAGATCTTTGTCTCTTCTCTCTATAGTTTTCCTTTCCAATAAAAAAATAATTTTTTTTAAATCTCCTTGCTAAAAAATGCAGAGCCTGTGTGATAGTCTGTTTCATATCAGTGAGATTCTGGTCAATCGAATAGTGCCCCCCCCCCCAGTTCATACTCATCTGGCCTGCCCTCCCCCATATTGCCTTATTTGGAAACAGGGCCTTTGCAAATATCAGGATGGGATCAATGGTGTGGCACAGTGCACTAAGCTGTGATTTGCCAGGCCAGCATCCCCTGCCAAGTGCTGGTTCAAGTCCTGGCTGCTCTACTTCTCAGCCAGCTCCTTGCTAATGTGTCTAAGAAGGCAGCAGATGGCCCTAACACACGGCCCTGCCGCCCACACAGGAGCCCAGGAGCAGTTCCTGGCTTCCAGCTTCGACCTTGGCCTGTTGCAGGCATCCGGGCACAGAACTAGCATACATCTCTCCCTCTGCCTTCCAAATGTGTAATATCTTTTAGTCTGATGACTGGTGTCCATATAGGGACACACTGATTAAGGACAGAAAGGGGACGGGCTTGGTGTGAGCACAAGAGGAGACCGGGCTGGTGTCGCTGCAGCACGGGGAACACTGAAAGCCACAGAGAGCCCAGGATCAGCAAGGACTGCTCCAGTCATCAGCAAACCGGCTCGGCCAGCACTCGGAGCCGTCAGGGCGTGACAGATACGGCTAAGCTGTCCACCCGGTTTGTTGAAGTATCCAGAGACTTGGGGAGCCTGCATATTACGGCAGATGCGTCACACGACACCTGCTGTCCCAGGTGGTCCCCACGTTGGCGGAGATGAGGAGGTGGAAGCTTCAAGATGCTAGGTCACCACGGTGCTGACCTCTGACGGGATTAATGTAGTTCTCCCCAGTCGCTGACTGGTCCTCAGAGTTTGTCCTGCTTAGCAGGTGGTTACCATGCGACCTCTCCCTCCTGCCTATCACCTTTGCATCATGCCAGCTGCCTCACTGCAGTCCAATCAACGCTTTATTCTGTGCTCCCAATCTCCAGAGCTAAGGGCTCTAAAGCCTCTTTGTGAAGGACCCAGCCTCCGGGTTTTGTGATAGCAGTAGAAAATGGACTACTACACCTCTCAGTAGATCCACCAGATCTTCAACGTATTCTGTGGTTCCTTCCTCCTTTCCAGAAGAAATAATTAAAACTCATGTTCAACAGATGGCAAAATCCCTACGCGGACTCCCTGACCTTAGTGAACATTAGCATGGTAGAAGAGGCAAAGTAGGCCTCTAGAACTGCTTCCACCTTTACAATCATCAGCAAAAGCTACTTGCCACGCCCTTCGAGGGCCTGCAAAGGCGAGTGCTCCTGTCGAAGCACCTGGAAGTTGCAGCTGACAGCATTCACACCACCCATCTCAAAGAGGGACAGAGTGAACTTCCACCCACTTGCTCACACCACAAATGGCCACAACCGCCAGGAGCCAGGAATGCCCTCCAGGCCTTCCACAGGACTGCAGGGTTCCACCATCCATGCCTTCCCAGATGTATTAGCTGGATCAGAAGCCGAGCAGCCAGGATGTGCGGCAGCACTGTTACAGGATGCTGGTGTTGTGATTGGGGCTTAACCCCCTGCACCACAACGCCAGCTGCCCCTCCCCCATCCCTGCTCAACTCACCCGCTCAGGCACTGAACACAGTGGAGTCTCCTAAATATGTGCTGATAACTGATGGTGGCTCCTTTGCTTGAGAAAATCAACACATCCATACCAGATATGGAGCCATTGATCTGGCAAATGCTTTTCCACTCCACCTACCGAGGGAAAGACCCACCAGAAGGAATTTACTGTCTACTGGCATGACTGGCAGTACCCCCTCTTGTCCTGCCACAGGGAGACTTTAGTTTTTTAGCCTCACTCCCCTTTCCCTTCCACAGAATCTGCAGAATTCCACTGTGCTACATTGATGCTAATGTGCTGATGAAGCACTTTCAGCAGGCGGTAGGAATACCTAGACACACTGATATTTGCGTGTCACAGACCATAAAATCTGACCACACTTAACAGGTCTTCCGCCTTGGTGAATTTTCTAGGTGTGTTGTGGTGTAAGACATAGAAAAGTATTACTTCTTTTTTTAAAAAAGGTTACTTTATTTGTAAGGCAGAGTTACAGCTCTTCCATCTGCTGGCTCCATCTGCAGTAGCTGGGCTGGACAAGGCCCAAGCCAGGAGCTTCACACAGGTCTTCAGTGCGCGTGCAGGGGCCCAAACACGGGCCATCTGCCACTGCTCTTCCAGATGCGTTAGCAGGGCGCTGAATCAGAACTGGAGCAGCTTAGTCTCAAATAGGTACCAGCAGACAGCAATTTAACCTTACTTCTGAGCTGAAAAGTTAGCTGTTCTCTGGTCCCTCAAAACAAGCAAAAAAGGGGGTGGAGGCATCGTGTAATACCTCGTGGGAGAAGCAAAGGCTTTATGACCAGCTCAGACTGTTGTACAACGTGTTCTGGCATGTAGGCCAGGCAGTCTGGCATAGTGAGCAGCACCTGATGTAGCCATGGCCGTGGCTGTGGCTGTGGCTGACTCAGAGGCTGTTTCACCTTTAGCAGGCACCTTTCCAGTACAGCTGAATCACAGTACAACCCCGAGGGTCACAGAGCGAAGTCCTGGCATCGCTATGTGTAACCAATCTCCTTTTCCAGAAAGAGCCCTTGCAGTACCCCTGGACCACCAACAGCAGAGACTCAACAAGTGATCGTGGGCCACCATATGACCATGCAGCCTGAGCTTAACAGTGTGTCAGGTTATAATGTATTCCTGATATGCTGTGATAAACATGGCACTGCACCTCTGCAGCCTCCCTCCCAGGGGCACAAACCTGATCTCTTTGGACAAACCAGCAGGTAGCTCCATCAAATGGGGCATCTTGACCAACACTCCTCAGTGGTCCAGCTCAACAGCAATGCACTATCTGAAACCACTCGAGCTCCGAGGGACCCAAAGGGACCAGAAGGCAAATATAATTGTGGTCATCTGGACAGAATTCTAGAATGGAAAAAGCACAGTGGGTTAAACACAAGAAATCTGAGTAATACAGCAATGTGGGCCCATCGGTGTTACAGTGTGCTGCACGGACACACAGCGGTAGAGGCTCAGAGCAGGGGCGGCCTACACACAAACTTTGCACTGTCTTCTCATTTTCCTGTGACTCTAAAACCATCTGAAAAAATAAAGTGTATTCTTTCAAAAATCAAAAATCTAACTTGGGTCACATTTCATAGGTGTTAAAAAGCAAGACACTGCAAAGCTATGAAGAATGGCTACTCATATGTTGTTCTTTATTTTACACTTTATATTTTTAAAACTGCATTTAAATGTTAATGTTTCATCCTTTTAAATGACCCTTGTGTGTGTTTTCTATTGTATATGTAACACACACAGAGCAATTGAAACTGCATTGTGAGTTCTTAAGATCTGCTTAGTGGAGATAAACCAAATGTGTTATTACTGACGTTACAAAACTAAGTTATCAGAGAGCTGTGTTAAATGGGCAAATCAAAAATAGAGTTTTCTTGGAGGCAGTCATGAGAAGAAAGCCCATGGACTGTGACATGATTAAAGCAATTTATTGGTATTTTGTTAGGAAGAATAAATAATGACACTTGAGACTATAAGCTTAGGGGACACTATGTGATGCAGTGGCTAACAGCCCGCTGGGATACCTGCCTACCACACAGAGTGCCCAGGCTGAGTCCTGGTGCCGCTCCCCATGCCAGCTTCCCTGCTAATGGCCGCCCTGGGAAAGAAGGCCTAATGGTGC